CACTACTCGCCAAGCTGTTCCCCCAATAGAGTTACAACACTGGCATCTACCTGATAATGTAGAAAATTGCCCAGGTACAAAAAGCATGACAAATTTAACCCGGCCAATTATCTCCCCATCAGTCTACTTTTGTTCATCAGTAAAGTGATGGAAGGTGTCATCAACAGTGCTATCAAGCAGCATCTGCTCAGCAATAATCTGCTCAGTGACGCCCAGTTTGGGTTCCGCCAGGGCCACTCAGCTCCTGACCTCATTACAGCCAAAACAGCTGAACTCCAGAGGTGAAGTGAGAGTGATGTGGCATCGAGGTGCCCTAGCGAAACTAGAATCAATAGGAATCAGGAGACAAATTTTCCATTGGTTGGAGTCATACCTGATGCATAGGAAGATGGTTGTGTTTGTTGGAGGTCGGTCATCTCATCTCCAGGACATCTCTGTAGGATTTCCTCAGGGTAGTGCCCTCGGCCCAATTATGTTCAGCTGCTTCATCAATGACCTTTCCTCCATCATAAGGTCAGAATTGGGAATGTTCACTGTTGATTGTGCAATGTTCAGCACCATTCATGACTCCTTGGATAAAGAAGCAGTCCGTGTTCAAATGCAACAAGATCTGGACAATATCCACGTTTGGACTGACACGTGGCAAGGCAGATTCATTTCACAAAAATGCCAGGTAATGACCACCTCCAATAAAAGTCAATCTAAGAATCACCCCTTGATTTTCAATGGTGTTATCATCATCACTGAAACCCCAACTATCAACGTCCTGAGGGTTCCATTGACCATAAACTGAACTAGACTCGCCATATTCGTACTGTGATTACAAAAGCAAGTCAGAGGCCGAGAATACTGCAGTGAGTAATTCGCCTCCTGACTCCCCAGAACCATTCCAGTATCTGCAAGGCACAAGTCAGGAGTGCGATGGAATATTAAACAAAAACCAATAAAGCTATAAATCACACACAAAAACAGAAATTGCTGGAAAAGCTAAGCTAAAAGTGAAGAGAAATCAGAGTTAATATTTTGGGTCCAGAGACACTTCAGCAGAATTGATGGTAGCTAGGAAAATTTCAATTTATATGCAGAAAATAGGCTGGGCAAAGGGGGTAAGGAGTAAACGATAAGTGGGGAGGGAGCCCAAAGACAGAAAAGAACAGTTGGAGAGTCAAAGGAGTAGATAACAATCTGGCTAGGAGAGTGAATGGCTGTTGATGGAGACTGTTAATGGCTGATAATGTGTTGTGTGTAATAGCAGGCTATGTCATCACAAGGTGTGGTGTTTGAGGGTGGGAGCTGGCACATAGGGGAGTTCAAGCCCTGAAGTTATTGAACTTGATTTTGAAGGCTGCAGGGTCCCCAAATGGAAAATGAGGCATTGTTCTTCCAGTTTCCGCTGAACTTCGTTGAAGAACTGCAGCAAGCCTGAGACTGGGATAGTGGCCAGGGAACGGGTTGGTGTGTTGAAATGGCAGGCAATGGGAAGCTCAGGGACAATAATGCAAGCAGAATGTAGATGTTCTACGAAGCTGTCACTCAGCCTACGCTTCGTTTCCCCAGTGTAGAGGAGACCACATTGTGAGCAGTGAATGCAGTAGACTAGATTATGTGATGTACAGATAAAGTGCTGCTTCATCTGGAAGGTATGTTTGGGCCCTTGGATACTGAGGAGACAGGAGCTAACTAAGCAAGTGGTACACCTTCGGCGATTGCAGGGGAAGCTGTGGGGCTGTGGTGTGTTGTTGGGAATGAAGGAAGGGTGGAGCAGGGTGTCCTGAAGGGACAAGTGAGGGGAGGGATGGGATATGTGTTTGGTGGTGGCAGCTCGCTGGAGGTGGCAGAAATAGTGGGTAATGAGTTTCTGGATGTGGATCCTGGTAGGATGGTAGGTGAGGGCTAGGGGAACCCTATCACTGTTGTGGAAAGGAAGAGATGGAGTGAGGGCCCAAGTGTGGAAGATGGGGTGAGGGCCCAAGTGTGGGAGATGGGTCGGACCTGATTGAGGGCTCTGATGTGGAGATCCCTGAGACCATCCTGGCAGGGGAGGGACTGCTGCTTCCAGGAGCCGAGGCCTGAACCGTCCCACCCACCACCCTCCTCCGCTTGGCCGAGTTCTTCCTCACCCTCAGCAACTTCTCTTTTAACTCCTGTCATTTTTGTCAGGTCAGAGGCAAGGCCATGGGTATACACATGGGCCCCAGTTATGCCTGTCTCTTCGTGGGGCACATGGAACATTCCTTGTTCCAGTCCCATTCTGGGTGCCACCCACTACTCTTTCTCTGATATATCAATGATATCATTGGTGCTGCTTCCCTCTCTCATCCGGAATTGGAAAAGTTATTGATTTTGCTTCCAGTTTCCACCCTGCTCTCACTTTCACCTAGTCCATCTCGGACTCCTCCATTCCCTTCCGTGACATCTCTGTTTCTAGTTCTGGGGATAGACTGGCCACTAATATCCACTATAAACCCACCGACTCCCACAGTTATCTGGATTATACATCCTTGCACCCTGTTTCCTGTAAAGACTCTATTCCATTCTCCCAGTTTGTCCGTCTCTGTTGCATATGTTCTGATGATACCAACTTTGACAACAAAGCCTCCAAAATATCCACCCTCTTCCTCAATCGGGGATTCCCCAGCACCACTGTCAACAGGGCCCTCAACCAGGTCTGACCCATCTCCTGCACTTTGACCCTCACATCCTCTCTCACCTTCCGCAACAGCGATAGGGATCCCCTTGTCCTTACCTACCATTCCACCAGCATCCACATCCAGAAGACCATCAGTCGTCATTTCTGCCACTTTCAGCGAGATGCCACCATCAGAAACATATTCCCCTCCCCTCCCTTGTCTGCTCTCCACAGGGGCCATTCCCTGCAGGAAACCCTGCTCCACTCTTCCTTCACTCCAAGCAAACCACACACCCCCCCCCCCCCCCCCACCATATCCCCTGCAATCGCTGAAGGCATAACACCTGCCCACTTACCTCCTCCCTCCTCAGTATCCAAGGGCCCAAACATACCTTCTAAGTGAAGTAGTACTTTATCTGCACATCACACAATCTAGTCTACTGTATTCGCTGCTCACAATGTGGTCTCCTCTACATTCGAGAAATGAAGCATAGACTGGGTGACTGCTTCATAGAACATCTACATTCTGCCAGCATTAATGACCCTGAGCTTCCCGTTGCCTGCCATTTCAACACACCACCCTGTTTCCTGGCCACTATCCCTGTCTCAGGCTTGCTGCAGTTCTTCAACGAAGCTCAGCATAAGCTGGAAGAACAATGCCTCATTTTCCGTTTGGGGACCTTGCAGCCTTCAGGACAAAAAATCGAGTTCAATAACTTTAGGGCTTGAACTCCCCTATGTCCCAGTTCCCACCCTCACACACCACATCATGATCACATAGTCTGCTATTACATACAACCCATTGTCAGCCATTAACAGTCTCCATCAACAGCTATTCACTCTCCTAGCCAGATCGTTATCTACTCCTTTCTCTGTCCAACTGTTCTTTTCTGTTTTTGGGCTCCATCCCCACCTATCGCTTATTCCTTATCCCCTCCTCCCACCCTATCTTCTGCATAATAACTGACATTTTCCTAGCTACCATCTGTTCTGATGAAGGGTCACTGGACCCTACAAGTTAACTCTGATTTCTCTTCACAGATGCTGCCAGACCTGCTCAGCTTTTCCAACAATTTCTGTTTTTATGTGTGCTGGAATACTCCCCACTTGCCTGGATGAGTGCAGCCCCAACAACACACAAGCTTGACACCATCCAGGATAAAGCAGCCCGCTTGATTGGCACTACACCCACAAACATCCACTCCCTCCACCACCGACGCTCAGTAGAAGCAGTGTGTACTGTCTACAAGATGCACTACAGAAATTCACCAAAGATCCTCAGACAGCACCTTCCAAACCCATGACCACTTCTATCTAGAAGGATAAGAGCAGCAAATACCAAGGGAAGACCACTATATGCAAGTTCCCTCCAAGCCACTCAGCATCCTGAATTAAAAATGTGTCTCATTCCTGCAGTGTCACTGGGTCAAAATCCTGGAACACTCTCCCCAACAACACTGGTGTACCTTTACAGAAATAGAATGTAGGAGTTCAAGAAGGCAGCTCATCTCCATGTTCTCAAAGGCAGCTACGGATAGGCAATTAATATTTGCCCAGCCTGTGATACCCATGTCACATGAATGAATAAAAACTCTTTTTGCTGTTGTTATTGTAAATTTTTTCTTACTTTGTCTATCTTTATATCCTCCAGTTTACTGGATTTACCCAATGCTTTGTGTTTTTTCTATTTAACGTTATACTAATAAATTATTTGTAGCACACTGCATTAAGAACACAAGGTGCACAACACACAATTAGACAAAACTCTTTATAATATGCTTGTAAAAGTGGGATGGAGGAATTGTTCACTAATGGAGTCATGATAAGTCTCCAAGAAGTTATTCCAAAACATTGAATTTCATTGTCAACAGCGACACCCAATTCTTAACCAAGAGCTGGCATTGTAGATTTGAAAACTCCCTACCAGGGTTCTGCAGTTGACCAAAATGAGATCTCTCTTTTAGTTTTACATTGTGTTCTCATCTCTTTTGTCAACCATGGCTGTTGATCTGGTAAAAGTTTCAGAGTTGTTTCACATGCTGTGGTTGGAGGATAAATGTGATGATTGCTTTCTGAATGTACATTTTTGATCTTTGAAAAAGGGGGTTGAGGAGTTAGAGGGGTTGCCGTGAGCAAAGTGCACTATGAAGGGTCTAGGCCCGAAACGTCAGCCTTTCTGCTCCTATGATGCTGCTTGGCCTGCTGTGTTCATCCAGCCCTGCACCTTGTTGTCTCGGATCCTCCAGCATCTGCAGTTCCTACTATCTATGATGGGGCTCTCACTTTTTGAGAAGTTATAATAAGTTAGGAGGACTGAATGAAATTAAGGCCAAACTCTGACTAATTTGTGCCATTAACAAAATGATTTCATATGGTGTTTCTAGGCTTCATGTCGTGCAGTTGGGTTTGGGGTTACCTGGCTGACAGGTATGGCCGTTGGAAGGTAAGCTTAAAAATTATTCTTTAAACACATTACAATTTTAAAAGGTTAATATCAATAATGACGTTGCACCCAGGCAATATAAAAGAATATACGAACACTAGGCCAAGTAAAATGACCAAAATCTTAGTTGTAGTTTCAAACTGTGCCTTAAAATATGAAAGCAAAGTAGAGATATGAAGAGAGTTAGGGAAGGAATTCTCGAGATTAGAGTTTATGTAGCTGAAGCATGTAGCTATAGCCATGACAGTGCTGGTGATATTGGAACTGGTGGTGTTCAAAGGGCTGGAATTAAAGGTGTAGAAGTTTCTTGGAAAAGTGAACGGCTGGAGGAGTTTCCAAGAGGTGGTGAGGGGCCAGATCATGGAAGGATTTGAAAATAAGGATGGGAATTTTAAAACTGAGGTCTTGTTTGTGATGATATTATTGGCTTTAAGAGGTGTATTTTGGTCCTTCTTTTGTTATGAAGAATGATTGAGAAAGAGCGCTAACGAGCGGTCTACTCAGAGCCATTGAAGTGAACAATTTGTGAGGCATTGGGGTTTAGTTTTAACGTTGGAGCAGTAAAAGCAGCCTGAATGGGTGGGGTCAAGCACCCACAAAACCAGGATTTTTAGGTTTAGTTTTTTTCAGTAGCAGTTGCTGGGGTCTTGAAGCTGCAGTACATCTCTCCCTGCTATACCTTCTCTCATAGTTGCCTCTTCAGGTCAGAAGTGGGGATGTTCGTCAATGACTACACAATGTTCAGCACCATTTGCGACTCTTCAGGTACTGAGCAGGTCCGAGGCTAGGAATACTGCGATGAGTAACACACCTTCTGACTCCCCAGAGCCTGTCCTCCATCTACAAGGCACAAGTCAGGAGTGTGATGGAATACTCCCCATTTGCCTGGATGGGGCAGCTCCAACAACACTCAAACTTTAACGTTTTCGAGAAGATTTGTAGCTCGGGTTGTGGATGAGGTTATAGACTTGCTTGCCGAGCCGTTGGGTTTGGTTGCAAACGTTTCGTCACCCTGCTAAGTAACATTGTCAGTGCGTCTTCGGTGAAGTGTCGGTGTTCTGTCCTGTTTGTTGTTGTTCTCTTCTTCTTTTGTGAATTTTATCCTGATGAGTATGTTGTTTATGTGTCAGTGAGTTTCGTCTAGTTTTGTGTGTTTGATAATCGCAAAGTTTGGTGTGTATAGTGTGGAGCGCTGTCTGTTCTAACCTTTGTGTTTCTGCTTCTGCAATCAGTCCTGATATTGATGTTGCATTGATTTGTTTGTATCTGCTGTTGTTGAAGGTGAAGTGGATTGTGAGGCACAGATCTAGTAGTTTCACAATGGTGTCCTTTTTGATGTTGTTGATGTGCTAAGGTGCCTGCCTACTTAATTTGTCCAGCAGTGTGGCAATTGTCTCTTTGGCTATGTCGACGTTTATGGATGTAAATAGTACTGTTACGCTGAAGGGTACCATTATCTCATCCTCTTCTATTCTGGTGTCCTTGATGAGGTTGAGGAATTCTTGAATGGATGGAGTGGGTAGTGTTGTCAACTAAATATTTCAATAGCTGTCTATATGTTGGTGTGTCTGGTAGTGAGACAATGGCTCTTAGGGGGGCCCCCAGTTTGTGTACCTTTGGGAGTCCATAGAAACGGGGTGCGTTGGATCCCTCTGGCTTCTATTTTTTGGTAATTTGTCTTGCTGATGTCTCCCGAGTTGTGTAATTTCCTCAGGGTCGTTTTAATCCGGTTCCCTAACTGTGGTGTCGGGTCTATCGCCATCTGTTGGTAGGTGTCGGTATCTGCTAGTGGTGCATTAGCTTTCGCGATGTTTTGGGCTCTATTGAGGATTACTGTCACACATCCTTTTTCCACTGGTAAGATTGCAAAGTTCCTTTCTTTCTCAAGTCTTTCTAGAGCTCTCCTCTCCTCTGTGTTGAATGTGTTTCACTTTCTTTTATTGCTCAATGATGGGATTATCGTCTGTCTGATGGTCTGTTGTATTTCTTCCGTGAGTCCGTTGCTTTTCAATGTTGATTCCAGCGCAGCTAGGAAGTTAGCTTTTTTGGTGTCTCTGTAGTTATAATTCAGTCCGCATACTAAGATGGTTTTCTCAGTGTCTGCAAGTGTTCTTGATCCATGTTTCTGAGTTGTCCATGTTGTTGCTGAGAGTGAGTTTGGACAGTTTGTCTTTTAGGGTTATTCTTTTCTTTGTTCTGGCCCTCTGTTGTTGTATGTTGGTGGATGTCCATTCTTGGTCGGTTGCATTGGAGTACAAAGTTTTTTGGCGCTAAATTTCCGCTCATATTTGTGGAGGCAGTTGTGGGCATCGTTGATCATAACCCTTATCATTCCGCGGCCATTCTGTCCAGCTGTTCTCCGTGCCTGTTGATAGGTGGTTTGTATTTTAAGCTTTGTGGTAGTACCTGTTTTCTGAGGCATTCGTGCAGGAAGTATAGTTGTTCGTGGGTTGCACTCAGTCAGATGTTATTTGTTTCCCATCTGTGGGCCAGTTTGAGGGTGTTGCACCCGTAGGTGTTTAAAGTTTTTGAGAAGATTTGTAGCTTGGGCTGTGGACGAGGTTGTAGCCTTGCTTGCCAAGCCGTTGAGTTTAGTTGCAAATGTTTCGTCACCCTGCTAGGTAACATCGTCACTGCGCCTCCGCTGAAGTGTCAGTGTTCTGTCCCCCTTGTTGTTAATATGCCTCAGTTTGTTGGGATGTTTGGCACCACTTCCAGTTCTGTTTTTCAGTGGTTTGTCCACAGGATCTAATTCAATGTGTTTGTTGATGGAGTTCCGGTTGGAATACCAGGCCTCCAGGAATTCCTTGGCATGTCTCTGTTTGGCTTGTGCGATTATCGATGTGTTGTCCCAGTCTAATTCGTGTCCCTTGTTGTCCGTGTGTAGTGAGACAGGTGAGAATTGGTCGTGTCTCTTGGTGGCTGGCTGGTGTTCCCCAACTATCCAACCCAAACTTTGGGTCCAATATGTAGATGACACCTTCCTAATTGTCAAACACACAAAACTAGAAGAAACCCACCGACAAGTAAACAACAATCTCATTGGGATAAAATTCACAAAATAAGAAGAGAACGACAACCAACTGTCCTTCCTGGACACAATGGTAGAATGCAAAAGCAACAGGATACTCCAGACTAGTGTATATAGAAAGACCACACATATGGGCCAAATACTCAATTACACTAGCAACCACCCCAATGCCCACAAATGGAGCTGCATCAGGGCACTATTTAAACGAGCCACAACACACAGCAGTAACCCGGAACTACCCAAAGCAGAACAGGAACGCCTATACGGAGTCTTCAAAAGGAATAGATACCCAAAAAGCACAATCCGCTGTTACCTCCATGACAGACCACAACAAGACAACATAACATGGCCAGACACACTGGTCACCCTCCCGTACATCAAGGATTTTTCAGAGATGACCACAAGACTACTCAGACCCCAAGGTATCAGGGAAGCCCACAAACCAACAACCACCCTGCAACAGCCACTGACAAACGTAAAGGACCCCATACCCACAACCAGCAAAACTGGGGTAATATACAAAATACCATGCAAGCACTGTGAGAAACATGACATAGGCCAAACTGGAAGAAAACTGATAATAAGGATACATGAACACCAACTAGCCACCAAGAAACATGACCAATTCTCACTTGTCTCACTACACATGGACAACGAGGGACACGAATTAGACTGGGACAACATATCCATAATCACACAAGCCAAACAGAGACACGCCAGAGAATTCCTGGAGGCCTGGTATTCTAAACGGTTCTCAGTCAATAAATACATTGAATTAGACCCAGCGTACAAACCACTGAGAAACAGAACCAGAAGCGGTACCAAACACCCCAGCAAACCAAAGCATATTCAGGGTTTGAGTGCAGATTTGTAGCTCAGGTGCTGGCTGTAGATGTTGGTGTGTTCGCCGAGCTGGGAGGTTTGATGGCAGACGTTTCGTCCCTTACTGGCACCCACCGGAAGCAGCAAAAACCAGACCATATAAATTCAAACCGGCACAAGATAACAGCGCTTCACAGGAGGCTCCACTGCACTGAGGATGTCACCTAGCAAGGGGACAAAATGTCTGCTATCAAACCTCCCAGCTCAGCAAACACACCAACATCTATAACCGAAGCATATAAATAGCAAGCAGGACAGAACCCTGATGCTTCATGGAGGCACACTGACAATGTTACCTAGTAGTGTGGCAAAACATTTGCAACCAAACCCACTGCTTCAGCGAACATGACTACAGCGTCAACACTCAAACTTGACACCATCCAGGACAAAGCAGCCTGCTTGATTGGCACCACACCCACAAACTTCCACTCTCTCCATCACTGAGACTCCGCAGCAGCAGTGTGTACTATCTACAGGATGCACTGCAGAAATCCACCTAAGATGCTCAGACAGCACCTTCCAAACCCACGACCACTTCTATCTCCAGCCTCTTCCATCTAGAAGGACAAGAGCAGCAGACATATGGGAACACCACCACCTTCAATATCCCCTCCGAAACACTCACCATCCTGACTTGGAAATGTATCACCGTTCCTTCACTGTTGCTGGGTCAAAATCCTGGAATTCCCTCCCCAATGGCATTGTGGGTCAATCCACAGCAGGTGGGCAGCAGTGGTTCAAGAAGGCAGCTCACCACCAGCTTCTCCAGGGCAACTAGGGACGGGCAATAAATGCTGGATGGCCAGCGACACCCACATCCCACAAATGAGTAAAAACAAACAGCATTGGGATAATGGGTAAATGGCATTTGGTGAAAAGTAGGAAATGGGTAGCAGACTTTTGAAAGACCTCAAGGCTACCAAGGGTAGAATGTGAGATGCCTATCAGGGGGTGTGCAAGAGTAGTCAAGTCAGTAAGTGGCAAAAGTATGATTGAAGCTTTCAGCAGTAGCAGAGCTGAGGTAGCAGCAGAGACAGGTAATGTTATAGTTGAAGTAACAGGTTATCTTAGTGATGATGTGACCGTGCCGTTGGAAGCTCATCTTGCAGTCAGGTCAACCATTGAGGTGGAGACGGTCAGGGTCTATTGACAGGAAGAGGGTGATTAGGGAGTAGAGATTTTGGCAGGAGCAAAATGCTTCAGGCTTATCAATGCTTAATTGGAACAAATTTCTGCTCATCCATTATCCGAAATCAGATAAGCAACATGCATATTAAAGAGACTGGAAGAGTGGAGAGAGAAGCTTAAAATACCTTTTTTCACAAGGTGAAACAAAATGTATCTTTGTGCAATCAAAATTCTTTCATTTTTGAACTTAGCAAATACCAAATAGAATATTGGTGCCTGAATAGCATATTCTCCTTGGTTTACTGACTAACTGACTAATCAATTACTGACTTCCAGAAATATTTTGTGGGCTGACGGAACTCATTTCATTTGTGAAGCCAACAGGAAGTTGAGAAAATCACTGATTACATTTCACGCATATTACTTAATTTCCTCGTGTACTTCACTATCCTGATTATTAGCTTCCTCACCTTGTTCAGTAAGTTATCAGGAATAAAATATGATACAAATAAAAGCAAAATATCGCAGATGTGGGACATCTGAAATACAACTCAAAGTGATGGAGAAACTTTGGCAGCATCTGTGGAGAGTAACACACTTAACGTTTCAAGTGTGCTGGAGGATATGGTATGTTTATTACAAGGGAGTTGAAATATAAAAGCGAGAAGGCTTTGCTACATTAGGATTGTGTTCAGTCTTGGTCTCATTACCCAGTATGGGATTTATTTACTTCAAGATGCCAAAACATTGCTACATTCGAAGCGGAGAGAAGTGGTTGGTGGTGACGGTTGTAAATCTTTGGAATTCTTTGCCACAGGTCTTCAGTTGTTGAGTATATTCAAGGAGAGGTTGATGAATTCTTGAGCACTGAGGGGATTAATGGATCGGAGAAGGTGAAGTTGAGGTAGAAAGTCAATGTTAACCTTATTGAATGACAAACAATCTCAAAGACCCAAATCCCATCCCTGCTTCTATGCTTTGTGTTTCATCGTTTGTGAAACAAAGAGAGGTTGGGTCTTGTGGGTGAAATGAATGCAGACATTACTTCAGTTTGCAGAGGGAGGGTTAATTATTCATTGAATTTTAAGAGAACTGTAGCTAACTAGTTTATTACTGCAGCGCAGATAGTCTATGCTACGCACAAAGCTTTACTATGTATATAGGCAAAGTGACCATTCTGCTGGGGCAATCATTCTATGTCCTGGACCAGTCATTTAGAGAATGCAAGTTTGTAGATCTCTAGCAGTTTGACAGTTTGAGTTTACAGAAGAAAATTTTTTTTTTTGGTGAAAGACAACTGTCTATGAAGTTATTGAATTGTTGTAAAGACTCAACTGAATCCCTGAGGTCCTTGAGGTGAAAACAATCTGCTGCTGTTCCCCTGCCTGGCCTGCATATTGCTCTAATTCTACCCTTCCTTGTTTTAGAAAAACAAATGACGTAAATGTTTTGAAATTGGCTCTCTTGCTTTCCTTCAAATATTTTTGGCAAGCATCCAAGAGTTCAAAACTTGAATAATATTTTGTCACCAAATGTATCTGGAAAGCGCTCTCAGACTGTAACACCTGCCTTCAGGTGTTAGCCTTGGGCAAAAGATCCAAAGTTTTTTTCATGTTTCTGAGCAGGGTGCCCAGAGTGAGTAACACTCAAGGTTTTTGGGAAATTGATCGTTTTTGGAATCTTTATTTCTGACTTTGCTTTCTGTTCCAGATTCTTCTACTGGTCACTGTCTGGAGTTCCTATTACTCAGGCTTGACTTCCTTTGCACACACCTATGGCTGGTTTGTCTTCCTCCGCTCCATGGTTGGATGTGGAGTGGCTGGTCATTCACAAGGGTAAGAAATGTTTTGTTGTCATAGAACATTGAATATAGAATGTAGAAAATAGGGGTAGGCCACTCAGCCCTTTGATCCTGCTGTGCCATTCAAATTGATCACGGCTGATCATCCAATTCTGTACCCTGTTCCTGCTTTCTCCCCATCTCCTTTCATCCGCTTAGGACTAAGAACTGTATCTAACTCCTTCTTGAAAATGTCTGATGTTTTGGCCTCAACCACTCTCTGGGTGAAGAAATTTCTCTCACTTCAGTCCTAAATATCCTACCCCATATCTTTAAACTGTGACCCCTGATTCTGGACTCCCTGGGAACATCCTTCCAGTATTTACCCTGTCTAGTCTTCTTAGAATTTTATAGGTTTCTATGAGAACACCTTCATTCTTCCAAATTCCAGTGAATATATTCCTAATGGATCCAGTCTCTCTTCATTTATCAGTCCTGCCATCCAAGAAATCAGTCTGGTAAACTAGTGTTGCACTTTCTCTATAATCAGAATGTCTTTCTTCAGATAGGGAGACCAAAACTGCACACAATACTCCAAGGCCCTGTATACTTGCAGCATGATATCCCTGCTCCTGTACTTGAATCCTTTTGCAATGAAGGCTAATACATCGTTTGCCTTCTTTACTGCCTGCTGCACCTGGATGCTTCTCTTCAGTGATAACACAGTATGGAGCTGGAGGAACACAGCAGGCCAGGCAGCATCAGAGGAGCAGGAAAGTTGACGTTTCGGGGTGGAACCCTTCTTCAGAAATTGGGGTGGAGGAAGGGAGCTCAGGAGTAAATAGAGAGAGGAGGGGTGGGGCTGGGGAAGGTAGGTGGGATGGTGACCCTGATAAAGGATCCCGACCCGAAACGTCAGCTTTCCTGCTCCTCCGATGCTGCCTGGCCTGCTGTGTTCCTCCAGCTCCATACTGTGTTATCTCTGAACAACATCTGCAGTTCTTTCTATCTCTGCTTCTCTTCAGTGACTGGTGTATGAGGATACCCAGGTTTTGCTGCACATTCCCTCTCTCAATTTATAGCTACTCAGATAGTAAGCTGTCTTCCTGTTCTTTGCTCCCAAAGTGGATAGCCTCCCCGTTGTACCTCATCTAGCATGCATTTTCCCACTCACTCAACTTGTCCTTCTCTGTCTCTGTGTCAAAATTCTGGGAACTGTCCATTACGATATGACAGGTATTGCTGGTCATCCAGCATTTATTATCCATCCTAAATGCACAGACTCCACCACATTGCTGTGGGATTACCAGCTACGGCCCTCCTTTAATTGATGTATCAATTGCCCATCTTTTCCTCTCCCTGACCATTTGGAGTGTTGCTTCCTACCTTCCTACCTCCCAATTGCTTTTCAGCCATTGCTGAATATTACATGGCTCAGTGTTTCCAGTGAGTTATTTGTTGGACTATCTCAGAATACTGGTGAGACCCAAAACAGCAGCATCAAAAGCAACTGTTCTTGGATGAAAAGGACAGGATAGATCAAGGATTTGTTTTGCTGTCTCCAGTGTTTGCTATAATGTACAATGTTCTTACAGTATTTACTATATGGCAAAATGTCTTAGAAGCATTATTGAATAAACAAAACTGCAGGTAAAGCAATAAATTTAACTTCAGTTGAAAGCAGTATCTTTTTCTCTAGGTATTAGAAATGGCAAGGGATATGTGGCTAGTGCAGGAAAATGGCTTTGAGGTTGAAGATCAGCCATGATCTGGTTGAACAGCAGAGAAGGTTGGAGGGGCTGAATGGCCTGTTCCTGCTTTCTGTGTTCCAAAGTCTTTCCTCTGAGTCAGAAGGTTGAGGGCTCATGGGCTGCAGAGGCTGGAGTGTAAACAATTAGGCTGGCACTTCAGTGCAGTATACAGTGAGTACACCTTTAAAATGAAAGGTTTAATTGAGCTCCTGTCTGCTCTCTTGGATGGGTATGGAAACTCCCCTGTCACTATTTTGAGGAAGAGTACGGGCATTTATCTTCAGTGTCCTGATCAATGTTTTCTCTCCAGTGACCATCACAGAACGTCACAGGTTATCTGGTCATTGCTGTTTTATCCAACACTTCAGCTTAGCCTACACTTCGAAAATACTTATTCGGCTGTAAAGCACTTTGAGACATTTGTGAAAAAGTGTGAAATAAATTCAAACCTTTTTCTCTCAAACTGTATTCAATGTTTAGAAGAGACTATCTGCCTTGCATTCCAGACGATTAGATGGGTTTAACAACACTAAGGCAAGAGTTCAATGATGCTATTATACAGAAGCAAAACACTATAGATGCTAGAAATGTGGAACAGGCCAGGCAGAATCTGTGGGGAGAAAAACAGTGCTTTAGGCTGGGATTTAAATTTCTGCTGGCTGTGGTATTGAAGAAACTGGAAAATAAAAATGGAACTTCCTTCACAGAATCACAGATTTGTTAGGATGTAGAAGGCAATCATTTGGTAAATTCTGTCTGTACCAGCTCTCTGAATGACTACGATGACTTAATGCCATTCTCCTGCCTTTATCCCGTAAGCCTGTGCATTGTTTCTATGCTTCAACTGAACCTGCCTCTACCACATTTCCAGGCAGTGCCTTCCATATCCTAACTACTCTCGAGAGAAAACATTTTGACTCACCTCTCATTTGCTCCTTTTGTAAAAATCACTTAAAATCTGTACCCATTTCATTCTTGATCACTTTATAAGTGGGGAAAGTTTCTCCCCATCCATAATGTTAAGACCCATCATAATTTTGAAACGCACCATTTCCTCTCAAAGCTGCGTTCTCTCCAAGCAAAACAACCTCAACCTCTCCAATTTATACATAATTGAAGGTCTTCATCCTAGGAACCATTTCTGGAAATCTTTTGTTGTATTTTCTCCAATGTATTCACAAGCTTGCTGAAATGTGGCACCCAGAACTATACACAATACATCAGCTGAGTTTGAACCCTATGCCACTGTTAATAAAGCCTAGGATATTGTATGCTTTAATAAATGCTGTCTCTGCTGTCCTGCCACTTTAGAACTACACATGCGTACTCCTTAGAATAGTATGCTTCATTTTGTACTATCTGTCTATGTTCTTTACATCAAAATGTACCACCTCACACTTCTTCTTCACATTGAACTTCATCTTTCACCTATTCTCCCACTCCAGCAACTTGTCCGTGACCTCCTCACAGTTTACAATTATTCCATGTTTTGTATCATTTGCAAAATTGGAAATTTTACACCTCTTTACACCAAGATCTAGCTTTTTAATATATGTCAGGACAAGCAAGGATCCCAACGTTGACCCCGGGGTAGCTCTGCAATGAACCTTTCTCCAGCCTGAAAACTATCCATTAAGCATTATTTCTGCATACTATTCCTCAGTCAGTTTTGTATCCACACTGCTGCTGTGCCTTTTATTGCATGAGCTCTGAACCTGCTCACAAATCTCTTCTGCGACACTGTATCAAACACCTATTGGGGAACCATGCACGCCCCATCAACAGCTTTGCCCTCATTAGCCCTCTCTGTTATCTCTTCAGAACATTCGAGCAAATTTAATTAACCCATATTATTCCATGCAACTGTTAATTCTAAAACAAATAGTTGTTTCTAGAAGTTTCTCTGACACTACTGAAGTTACACTGACTGGTGTGTAATTGCTGAGATTCTCCTGACACACTTCTTAAACAAGGGTAATTTCTCAGTCCATGTCAGCACCTTGAGTCTAAGATAAACTGAGAAACTATGGTCAGTATCTCTGCAATTTTCCCTCTCACTTCCTTCGGTCTCTGGATTTATCTCATTCAGATTCAGTGCCTTGTCAACTTTAAGTAGATAGCTTATTGAATATTCTTATTCTTTACAATTTAGTGACTGAATTTCTCCCTTTATCACCTCTATGTGTAAATCCACTTTTCAGGCTCTTATCACTTATGCTCCTCACTCTTTCACCATTTATGTGCCTACAAGAGACTTTAGGATTCTCCTTGATGTCTGCATGCTTTCTGACAAGGTGTTCCACACTACCCTGGATCAATTTCTTTTTAGGGTAGTTGAGTCCGGAGGGAGTCTGGCAGAGCTTAAGTGAATATTGAGGCCTGCTAAAGGAACAGGTAGTGTGTTTCTGAAGTCTGGATGCCTCCGACTTAAAAATATAAATAAAAACGTTGATGACTCTGAATGCCAAAAAGGTTGCTGGTGCACGCAACAGGCTGGAGCTACGCATGTGCTACTGATGTTATCACATTGGAGGCATCGAGACGTCAGCACCAGCACATGAGCAGATTGTCCCACTTTTGTTTCATGACACTTGGTTTGTAAAAGTGGTGATCAATGTGCGATTTCTGCCTCGGCCTTGTCCAGCACTCCTGAGGAAAACTGACGTGCCCTATTCTCACTCCACGGCGCAGGTAATTTCATGGCTATTGGGCGGAGCACGCACATGGAAAGTATGACTGGCGCATACATAATACGATGCTGTGGGCACAGGGATAACAGTCATTTTCACACTGCAGTCTGTGATGAAAGGCTGAACACAACAGGAGGTTTCACACAGTGGGGTTCTCAGGCCCTGACTAAGAAACTACTGGTCTCAGGTTAGCCTGGAATGAGGTAGCTCCTTCTTTTTCTTATGAATCACATCAGGTTGAAGTCTGCACATTTGTGTTCCTTGCACAACCTAGTTGATGGGTGTTGATACAACTCGTAACTGCTGAAAATACACACTTCACATTCAAATTTGGAATAGACATTCACTTATATTGGCAATCATCGATGAATGTTAACCATTTGTACAATTTCAAAGTTGCTGGTTTACCGTCTTGAGTGCTATTTTAGGGAGAAACAGTTGCATTTATTCACCAGCGCTTCGTTAGAGTGTTGGTCGCTTCTTATCTTCTAGGACAATGCTTTGCGCCGTGTTGCTGAACTCTAGGTTAACTCTGTTCACCCTGGTGTGACAGAGCAGACCTATTCTAGAGCATGGTAGCCTTTGCTGCACTTTTTAAAATTTTATTCCATTGTGGGAAGTGAATGTTGTTGGCTAGAGAAGCACATATTGCCTATCCCCAACAGCTCAGAGGATAGTGAAGTGTCAACCACATTGCTGTGGGTCTGGAGTCACGTGTAGAGCAGACTAGGTAAGGAAGGCAAATTTCCTTCCCTAATTATGTTACTGGACCAGATGGGTTTTTTAAGACAAATGGAGGGAGGCGGTAGTAACGCCACAGGGCTAGTAATCCAGAATCCCCAGGTTAATGTTCTGGGGACATGGATTCAAATCCCACCATGGCAGATAGTGAAATTTGAATTCAATTTTTAAAAAAAGGAATAACAAAACAAAGGCTAGCCTAATGGTGACCATGCAACCACAGTCAATTGCAAAAAAATTTCTTTAGCCATTCTAAGAGTTACATTGTGAGCACAGGATAAAGTCTCCACTGGTCCTCAATGTCAGACATCTCAACTGTTGCATCTCCATCATTACCTCCAAGTGGAGAGGAGCAATCCCGAGACTCAGGCTCAATCACGGAGTGCCACTCTGTCTGAAATTTTGACTGAAAGGGCATTGCGTCAAACTGCTCCCTGAAGTAGGCCTGTAAAAAACTTCGTAACACAGTTTTGCAGAGCAGAGGAATTTTTCCTGGTTTCCAGGCGAATATTCCTTGATAAGCATCACAAAAGCAGATTATCTGGTCAGTGTTACCTTGCTGTTTGTGGGAGCTTCGTGTGAACTAACTGACTTCCGAGTTTCCTATAATATCAGCAGTAACTGCGTTTCAAAAAAAAACTTCGTTGGTTAATGAGTGCTTTGAAACATCTTGAGGTCATGAAAGGTACTGTATAAATATAATCTATCTTTCTATCTCAAATATAATAAATGGCAACTTGTTATGGCCCAAATCCCATGGCTCTAATTCTATAAATGCGGTGAAATTACAGATTGTACGCAGCATTTGTTGTAGTTTAAATAAAGTTAGTTACAATGCATGCAGTTTTGTTTATTTTATTCAATCAGGTACCTGGTACCAAGCCACTGGAACAGGCTGCCTCGGATACACTCGCTGTGCGCTCACACTGCGCTGTATCAGAACCAGATGTCATGTGCCCATTGTAGCTGCCTGTCCTTCTTTGCTCCTTTCTCCAGTCTCCTTGTCACCCAGTTCTCCATACCCTCCAACCCAGCTCTCAGCCCCTGCATTCCTCTCCCCTCATTGAGTCCTCACTGTCCCATGCTGATCCTGGGGTGTGAATGATACAAGGTACATCACATCTCCTCCTGCAGCCAATCTTCATCATTGCTACACTTTTTTTTAAAGAATTCTGAATAGTTGGATTCATGGATCAGTTGCCTGAATGCCTTTTGCAATGCAGTTTTTCAGTTAACAGATTTCCCTACAAGTTGTTATTACAAAGTTCCTCGTGGGATGCATTGACATTACAGACACAGCAACTGTATGTGCAGTGAGAGCACCCCCTGCAGTTGCTTTGGCGACAAACATGGCCTGATTCAATACTGACCTAAACATTCATGTTATATAGGTGAATACAGAACAGATAGTGGTAGCCTAATTGGTCATGGTGTGCAGCATGCAAATAATATTCATCCCAAACCAGGGACTATCAATAGTGTGGTCTGAGCTTTCAGTCTTCAATTGATCTTTGGAAACACAGGACAGAATCTTATGGAAGTCTAAGCCATGTGGGATTTGTGGCAGAATCGAATGAGAAGTTCAACAAGGCCCATTTTGTTCCATCTTTTATACATTTACACAAGCAGCGAGGTGTGTTTCTCACTGGGGAGAGACAATTTGCCAGTTAAGGGGAATTATAGCTTGTTAAATGCCTCATTAATGACCCAACTCACCTCATTAATAATCAGCTTCCGATCTTCCCAAACACATAGAACAAACTGGACATTGAGAATTCTTGGCGTGGAACTCAACGCGGGTACCAGGTGAATTCAGCTCACTGTTGACTGTGAGGAGTCTCCATGTTGCTCAGAGCATGATCCATGGGAAACAGCTGCATGCACCCCTTGTCCAGGCCAACCCTGAATGATCATCAGGCCACCTCTTTGATACACTGGCAGGGTGCTCTGGAATGAACAGACTGGCATTGCAGGGCACACTGGCAAGTAGCATTGAAAGACTACAGCAAGGATACTTTGTGAACACGGGCAGCTGCCAGGCTCACAGATTGAGGAAGCTTGCAGCTCTCTCAGTGCTCACTTAGCATCTACATGCATAGTCACAGCAAACATGCCTTTTCTTGCCTTGCCATACTGTGCCAGTTTTTTTTTATTCATTCATAGGATGAGGGCATTCATTGCCCATCCCTAATTGCCCAGAGGGCAGTTAAGAGTCAACCACATTGCTGTGGGTCTGGAGTCACATGTAGGCTAAACCAGGTGAAGATGGCAGTTTCCTTCCCTAAAGGGCATTAGTGAACCAGATGGGTTTTTCCAACAATCAACAATGGATTTGTAGTCATCATTAGATTCTTAATTCCAGATATTTTATTAAATTCAAATTCCAACATCTGCCGTGGCGGGATTCAAACCCGGATTCCCAGAACGTTATCTGGGTCTCTGGATTAACAGCAATACCACTAGGTCATTGTCTCCCCTGTTAGCACATTGGCACCTCAGCCAGAGCCTAAAGGTTATCTGTGCTGCAAGACTGATGTGCTTCTTTGCTCAGACACACCATACGGAGCTGTCTGGGTGCGTGCTGGGGGAGTCAGTGAACGGAATTATCTTGCTATACGGCATGCCAAGGCATCAGTCTGATACCTACAGCATGCACCAGCTGCCTGCACAAATGCATTGCATTTTCACTCAACCAAAACAGCCATGTTGGAAAGTGGATGGGGCTAGTCCTCAGGCCAAAGCAGCTGTCGGCCTGGGGTTCTGGTACTGACGCTCAGGGGTACTGTTTGACCATAGTCTAGGCACTTGGACCCTGTCAGTTGCCAGTTCCTGTAGATCCAGCAGCAGCTGTTAGGGCACTCGTTCATTGTCAGGCTGGGAGCGGGCCAGGGGTCTGGTCCGTTATGTTCAAAGGCAGCTAGTCGAATTCAGTCAGAGGCCTGGGGTAAATGCAGTTCTCGGGGTGTGTCTGTTGATTGTTAAGGAGAGTGCAAAGAGGGGCGTGCAGAGGCAACAAGGAGTTCACTGCTGACATGGGAGTGGAGGCTGGGAGCATGAAGGAGAGGCATTTTGGAGATGAGGACAAGCATGGTGATGGGGGATCTTGAGGTGTAGTGGTGGGTATGTACGACAGCGTGGTAAGCTACAGGAGGGAGCACCGTGCTCTGCCCATGTGGAGTAGTCAATGAGGTAATGCGATAGATACTGAGGGGGCGTCTGAGGAGAAGTGTGAGGATGTTGAGCTGGAGGAAGCTCTCCTTGAGCATTGACAGAGCTCAGCTGCATCAAACCCGACAAGGCAGGCAGAACGCGACTGACACCTAGTTCCTGCAGGCAGCAGCTGGATGCAACAGACCACCATGGGCTGTCAAGGACAAGATGTCAGCATTTGGTTCACATTATGGGGTTGAACTGCAGACATCTCCTTCATGTTTCTCTTTGCTGGCTTTCAGTAAGAGCTCATGTTTGGAATTGTCCTACTGCTTCCCTGTCGATGATACTCATTCCCCAACTGGACAATGACGAGCCACAGGTGACCATTGGGCATTGGGAACGGAGCAGGAGGGGCCCAGTGGAGGTGTTTGGATGGGATTTAGCTAAGGACGGATAAACTAAAGCCTAGTGGTTACATAATGACCTGGGTGAGAGAATGGCATTGTCTCTGTTGAGGGAGAGTTAGCCATGCCAGTATATGCTGTGTACAATGTGACTTTGTAGCTGCTGTGCCATTACATTGTTCCTGAGGAGTAAGCCCAGATTGCCAACATTTGTCCACATGCACAGTAGCCTTTCAACCATGATGCCAGCTAAGCTCTCTATCTTTTCCTGCATGGATCGCTGAGGTCTCATATATGGACTGTCAGAGTGGCTGCACAGACACACAGCACAGAGGGAACGTTGGATGGCAGTCTTTCGGTAGATATCCCATGAATGGAACTTATTCCGGAAGCACCATGAGATATGATCAGGCTAGAATTAAATGTGAGGGACACTATGGTGCTGGGATAGCTAGTTAATGAAGTGAGTTTGGTAAGATGCAGCCAAACTTCACTGGATCTTGCAGTGAAAATCCCTGTAGCAAACTCAATACAATTTGCACTGAGCCAAAAGATTTTAAGATTCGGCTCACAATTTATCATTTTTAAGTTGATTAGATTTGTACCAAAGTCTGCACACTTTCTCAGGTCATGTCAGACAGAAGGTGCCATACCAAGCCACCATAGCAGCTGGTGGAAGTTATACTCAATTGATACACTTGGAATTCCAAACTCATCTCCGTGACAGTGACAATGAAAACTTGCTGAAAGTGGTAAAACCCACCTGGTTCACTAATGTCCTTTAGGGAAGGAAACTGCCATCCTTACCTGGTCTCGCCTACATGTGACTCCAGACCCACAGCAATGTGGTTGACTCTTAACTGCCCTCTGAAAGGGGCTAGTTCAAAGGTTGTTAGGATAAAAAAAAAGTGATATATTACAGGTGATGCAATATTTTCACACCTGTTCCCAAAAGAGATCTTGTTCAATTCTGCACATTTGGAAAAGGATTTTCATTAACTGTTTTAGTTGTTCCTGATGAAGTGTAGATTGTACGTTTTTGAATGGGTTCCGGTATGCATTGGGATTATGTTGTTCTTTGCTGTATCTGTGTTACTTGTATTTCACTCTGTTCTGTTTACGTTCCTGGTGTACCATGAACCTGCAAAGGTACAAGGGACTGAATGACCACTATCTGTTCTGCAGCATTCAATGATAGTTTGAAATAGTGACATCAATTTTATCTTCTTCTGTGCAGATTTATTATCATGACTGAATTCTTGCCCTCCAAATATCGAGGTCGTATTTTGCCTCTGGGACAGGTGAGAAAGTGTGAGCACTCGGAAAAACTAAGCAAGTGGTCAGATTTCAAACGTTGATGCCTTGATACAGGAGAAATTTTGTTTCTCATCCCAAAGTTGGATGATCGTCTTAATGGTCGCTTGTGTCTCTTCTCTGAAGTGATATTTTTTCTATTCTTCAAAAACGAATGGTGAAATTAGGCCTGTGTGTGATCAAGAGACAGATTTAATGGGCAGCTAATCTCATGCCAATTCCTCACCAATACCCAAAATCCAGATTAACCCCAACGTCCAGTTCTGATCAAGATCTCCTCATGAATGGATCACTGAGCTCGATATATAGTGTGGGAGGAGATAGGGTGGACAGTGAAATCAGGTGGGTAGTAGCTACTTGGAGTGGGTCAGTGGGACAATCTGGTGGATTGTCAAAGCAGACCAAACTGTTAACCTGTGGTTAGCAAGCTGCCAGTCGGAGGCAAGTCCGGTAGCCTGCCGATCTGGAAGTGAGATTTGGAGATGGGCTGAGACTAAAAGGGACAGTGCCTTTTACATTCCAATCCAAAGGAGCAGCACCATGAAAGTGGGAAACAACATGTGCACTGAGATACGGCATCACCTGTGTGTGGGGTGTGGGTGATCACAAAAGCCACAATCAACAGGAGGGAAAAAAAAAGACTTTTATGAAAGTGCCAACATTGATTTGCCCATTGGTTTCTTTAATTATGACAGGCCACTTATAAGCCTGGAGCATCAATCAATTGGTGACGAAGCCAAGCATGGAGCATCTTGCTTACCCACTCCATAATAACCTGTTTAATCCACCTATTGCCCATTTCCACCTTGGTGCCCCATATGAAGCAACCTTCCTGCTCAGGATCTAGCAGCAGCCATCCTTCAGGAGGTTACTGTTGAATTTCTTATGAAGATCCCTATCAGTCGCAAGGTAGGCTTTGAACTACCACAGCAAAACGAATTGGTCCTTGCAGAACAGCTTCAGGACAAGGCAGGACCTCTGTGTTGCCACTGCTGGGGCCTCAGTAAAAGCCCTGTTCCCCTTGCAAAAAGACACAAGCAATGCTATATGCTCCTTAAGAAGTAACTCCCTTTCCCCCAACCCCACCCAAACAAAAATGGTAAAAGTTTCACTTCAAACTCAGCAAATGTGGATGCTTTTGTTTGGCTGTGGGAATTCAGATATTCACTGAATAAATAAAACTAATGAGCAGCAGCTGGACGAAATGTAATCATTGAACTCCCACATCTAGTTTGCTAATGCAGCTTTTTTTTTATCAACCTGTTTAGAGATGGTATGGCACACCTCTAGAGCAAGTGAACTTGGGTCTCTGGCTCAGAGGAAAGGACACTACCACTGTGCTACTACAGCCCCAAACAAATTGTGAAGAAGCTAGAGTTGTTATATTGGCCAGAACAGGGAATTAACCCTCATACCCACTTACTAATATACACGAGGCCTCCTCTCCTGTTTCTAATTGAGGCTCTGGTCACCAGAGTTCAGATTTGCCCTAAATGAAAAAGTAGTACGGATTTCAACATTGCGGTAAACCAGTGTAACCACACAGCATTTAATTTTGTTTTAGTTATTAGTCCTTTCCTTAAGTACAAACAGGGCACAAGTGAGATGAAAATTGTCCCCATGGAACCATAGTTGTTTACAGCATAGAAAAAGACCACCTGGAACCATTATATCTGTGCTGTGTTGGCACACATCTAAAGCACTAAGGATGGGCTGAAGAGAATACTGTTAGCAGAAGAGGATGATTGGAGTGAGTTGTTTCCTTATTGTTCATGGTTTACTTTAGACTTTGCATTATCTTTACTGTAACAGCAAGGAAATTCTGAGAATTTCTATCTTAGCCATTTCAATGAGTCATCAACACAGTTGTCTTAAACAGCATCATGTCAAGAGCTAACCTTTTATCTATTTTCCCTGTGGACCTGTTTTTCTCTCCCATCTTTTTAATGTCCTTCACGAACTGACTGGTGTGTATCATTCTTCCAAATCTTGTGCATTTTTCACCATGAACAGCTTTTGTTGCTCTCAATATCTGTGTTGGATTGGTGTTATTTTAAAATGTTATGCTGCCTGTACACTTTAGCACGTTATTCTAACCTTTTCACAACAATGTTACACTATCTGTACATTCCACTTTTGTATTGTATCCTCCGCTCTGTAAATTTTTATACAACCTTTACACTACTTTTACCAGTAGTTATAACTTCCTCTCTTTTATTCAGTCTGATTCAGGGGTTATCTAGCCTCTTTCTCCATGCCAGATGTAGGAGCTTCAATCAAAATGTTAACCCTATTTTCATTCTCTCCACAATCTGCCAGATCATCATGTGATGTGGCTTACATTACACATACGACAGAGAGCCAGCTTCATATTGAGACAGATACCTGGAAGTTTTTTTTCAACAGCTAATTATTCACAATCACCTCAGATTACATGCACACATATATTATAGTTATCCTAATCAACCTCTCAGATATGTCTTACCACACCTCCAGAGCGGGTGAGAATTGAACATGCACCTTTTAGTTCAAAGGCAGGGACACTACCATTGGGTTATTTAGAACTCCATTCTAAAAGGGGTCACTGAACTCAAAATGTTGACTGTTTTCTCTCCACAGATGCCAGACCTGCTGAGTTTTTCCAGCAATTTCTGCTTTTGTTTCTAAGCTTATTCAGCAGTGTGCTGTCTATCATTGTGGTGGGATGTGCATCATGTGTTATAGATATATGGCTGCTGCCTTCTGTGATACTTTCAGCATTAGTCATCAGCTGTATGACAAATGGATGATGCTTTTCATTGTAAATTCTGACCATTGTTTGTGTCAGTGGTGTATGACCTGAGATAGACAGAATGCTGTAGTGTCTTTCCATGGACCCATGTATTCAGATGAAGATCTTGTACTCTGATGCTTTGTCCTGGTTCAAGTTGGGTTAATAGTCAGCATGCTTGTTGGATCATTCTCTTCCTTCTTTGTAATAATGCATTGTGTACATGTGATTGGCTGGTGGATTGCGTGAGGGAAATTCTGATTGGATCTGTCTTCCAAACGTTAGAGCTACCAATGAGAGAAAACCATTGCTTCAAGGAATAGCATGTGGATTTAACATGGCTTTTTGAAAATCTTGGCATTTAATGATCATGAACTTTATCATAAAGACATGGCATTTTGCAAGACTGTTAGACTGAGGGTAGTCAGGAGAAGAGATAATGAATTGAATGGCAAAAATGTTGAAGAAACTTTTTAAAGTCACGTTTGTCTTGTGGTACTGGTATCCTTTATACATCTTCTATTTTAATATGATCATATCTAACATAATAGATTGATTTGAAGTTTGACATTTTTGGCTGTTGATAGTGCCTGTACATGGTTTGAAAAGGTGCACTGGAGTATTGCAGCAGGTTATTGGACACACTTTGTTGAAGCATATCAAGCATATTGTTGTCAATGTGTCCACAACTTTGATTTGTCACATAAAAGGGAGCTTGATATAACAGTCAGTCACGAGGATGTAAGTATATCCTTGGACGTGGAAAATATCTGTTGCAATCGTGCACAGTGACTCAGAAAGAATCTTGCCTGGAAGGTGAGATTCTCTCAATTGTTGATGGAATTGATATGTTTGGCATTGATTCATTCCATTGCTTGTGTCCTTATCAAGGCTTAGCTAATAGATTTCCATGATTTCTTGGGGTTTCTTTTATGCACCTATGTGACCTATGTGTTAATGATTAATCTTATCTCAGTGTAGAACTCCATGTGGAGTAATCACTCCACAATTCTTTGAGTTTTGAAATTGACTGATTGTTGACTTTGGAAAATTCTATTCCAAGAGATGCCTAGTTCATCTCTGAATGAGCAGATAGAATGTTCTTGCTCAGGGACCCGTTGAATGTATTCATGCCAGCTACCAGTGATGATCCTTTAGAGCTGCAACAACTGGACATCACCAGGCATGGTTTGTTTTATCTACTAAGCTTGACCATTGCCAAAATGAATGAGATTTGGTATGAGCAATATCTTCAAACTCTGGTTTGATAATATCCACTTGTAGGTTCAGGGGAGTATCTTTGTTCTGGGTGGGATTTGAAAGCCGGCTAAGAGCATTGGGAATGCTCAGTGTTTGAGGCTGGTTTGTGTTGTGTTTCAAAATCATACCCATGGGTCTTCCTAAGCAGATGTTGTAGTCATGGAGGTACACTGTCAGAAGTTTTCAGCCAATTGTTTCCAACAGTTTATTGTCAGCATGAACAGTGAAATGTTTGCTGAATAGGTGCATGCGGAACCTTTCTCATTCCAGTTTTCAGAATACTGTTTCCCTTTCTATTTTGGAATAGTTCAACATGAGCTTTCACAAGGAGTTTCGAACCAAGCACAATAGGTTTGTCAAGCTGTAACAGACACGCTCCAAGACTATTCTATGATGCACCTGTTTCCGTCGTGATGAAGATTGGAGGGACCATAACACTGAAGAATACACTTGCTGGGAGAAAATATGTTCTTGAGGGGATGGAAATTACATTGGTGATCTGTCTGCCAGATATCTGATGTATCTTTGTGAAGCGAATCTAGAAATTTTTTGGTCACAACATTAAGGACGTACCGAAATAAAAAAAAATGATAATCCAAATGATAATCTGAGAAACCAGAATCTACTGAAAGCTGTTCTGAAAGTTGTCAGCTCCAGTGAGGCCTGGAGCAAGAAGTATGGACCAATATGAATTCTTGGTCTGGAGCTTGAAAAAATCTTTGCCACCTGAAAACTTGGGAATAAGCCTTCCCACGATAAGAATCTTGTGTAGGAATCCCATGAGTGTAGTGTTGAGTTGCCTTCAGGTCTAAATATACTTGTAGAGTTCCAGCTTTCTTGGAAACATAAGTAATGGAATTATACCAGTCAGTGTGATGCTCAAACTTGCAAATGATGTTGTTTGTACCAAGGAATCCAATTCCAGTTTGAGCTAATCCTGAATGTGAAAGCTGCACTTGTGAGGAAAGTGGGTGCTGGGCTGGCCATCATCTTTCAGATGCAGCATTGCAATATCTTTAACATTGTCATTGGAATCAATCTGGTCTGGGTAAAGGCCCTGGAGCCAACTTGATGTTGCAGTCTGGAATCTGAGATGTTGGAATTGGTGTATTGGTTACCTTGAGGATTATGAAGATGCATTGATCTGTGCATGTTGGTAAAAGGTTTCAGGTATCCACTTCAAGGAGTTGTCCTGATATTTAAGGCAGATTAAGCCCATGCAGAGGATGCCACACCCATTGTAAGCAGTTAATTGTTTGTGGGTTGCATTGCATTGCACCAGTTTCCCGAATATGCCTCATGTAAGGTGCATAAAGGGATGTTATTTGTACTTGCACCAGTGTCAGCCTTGGTCTATGGTTCAATCATAGAATTCCTACAGTGCTGAAACAGGCCATTCGGCCCAACAAGTCCACACTGCCCCTCTGAAGAGCACCCTAAACCCATTCCCCTACCCTTGCATTTCTTCCCATGTCACATAACCTAAACATCCCTGGGCACTACGGGCAATTTAGCATGGCCAATCCACCTAACCTGAACATCTTTGGACTGTGGGAGGAAACCGGAGCACCCAGAGGAATCCCACGCAGCCACAGGGAGAATGTGCAGACTACACACAGACAGTCGCCTGAAAGTGGAATTGAACCCGGGTTCCTGGTGCTGTGAGGCAAAAGTGCTAACCACTGAGCCACCATGCTGCCCAAATAAGGAATGGTGGACATAAAGCGCAGGCACTGCTGGGACCTTTTGGGTTTATCACTTGGTTAGAGGTACTGGCTTCAGCTGTTCTGATGGGGCATGGCAAATCAATCTCATGTACTAATGGACTGATGTCTGTAAGTTGTAACATTGCAGATACATCATTGACATGCCTTCAGACCATGGATAGGAATCTGGAAACTTTTTTTGATGCTGCTCCTTAATTGTCCCCATGCTGCTGTAGAGAATCAAGCTGCACTTTGGTATTCTCTGAGCACTTAAACTTGGTGTATATTTTAACCCAGTGTCCTCTTGTGTAATATAGCTCGGATATGTCATGAAAGGCTGAACACTGTTCTAGTTGATGAGACAATTCATTTCTGCTACAAGATTAGGTGATTCTGTTGATGGCTGCAGTTACAAGTCAAGCACTTGCAGATATTGCTGTCCTGCTGCCATTGCTTTGCATGCTCCATTTCACCATATGTTAATGCTATCCACTTTACATTTGTTCAGAAGCTCCTTTTGGAAACATCTGATAGTTACAGGCAGTGGCTAGTTTTGTAAGTATTTCAGCTGAGTTAGCTTGAATGAAATCACATTCCATGCCTTTGCATCAGCATCTGCATACAAATCAGTCTTATTTTTAATTGGCTGTTGCTGGTATGAAATGAACTCCATCCAACGCATCATGATGTTGACTCAGACTTAAAGCCAATGTTCTAAGAATTGAAATACTTTATCTGGCTTTTTGCAGTTATCATTAGCAATATCTCAGTGTTTTATTCTGCACAATCCTTCAGTTCCCAAAGTGAAAAGATATTTGACTGTTTACCTTTCTTTATCAGATATCCATTGATCTCTGAAGTGATTTCTCTGAATAACTGAAATTCTAAAAGAATGTCATTGGAATGCCAGTCCATGTTCACATACTCACTGTCTATCCTTACTGTGCAGCTTTGTGCTCTTTAAGAATTGCAATATAATGCTTCTCTTTCTTTTTCTTCTCACTTTTTCTTCCTCTCCTGGTTGCTGATTTAGAGATTGTTGCTTTCTTTTTATATTATCTTCTTCCAAAAGAAATGGTTGTACCATGACTATATGTGGCATTCATGCAAAAAAATGTAGTGGAGTGACATTGTGCATGCTTTTTTTCTGCTCTCATGCTATTTTGGAGGATGACAAAATGTTGGAAGTAACTGATGACCGAAGAGGTAAGCCATAACAATAGTAAGAATGGTTCCTTCTCAGCAGGAATTGTTTAACTGAATCAGAGTTGTCCTGGGTTTCTTGTAATCATGGCTTTAAATCAGACACACTGTGGGCTCTTATTCTTTTCAAAGGAAAGAGAGCATACTCACAACTGTTCTTCTGTTCTCTTTGTCATGCTTAGTACAGCTGTAGCCTTCAGCTTTGGTTGTGAAACGTGACTTCAGCTATGAGTTCGAATATATGAGAGTCACTCTTAGGAAAAGAAAATTTGTAAAAACTGCTTTTGCAGTTTTCACCTTTTAGCTATTAGTACTGTGTCCAGTTTCTAATTCTTACTGTCATCAGCTTCACTTGTTGCCACTGTGATATGATATGGTTTCCTATATGTTCACCCACATAACGTATACCATAGAGACTTGGCTTCTTATTGAGACAGAAATCTGGAAATTTATAAACAACTGTGTATACTAATGCAGCATCTCAAACTTCCATATACCATCTGGACTATATGTTTGCTCAGGTTACTATTATGTTATATGCAGGTCCAATGACATTGCTTTAGAAATTCAGTTATCCAAAGAGAAAAGATACTTCATCTCAGAGATCAACGGATATCTGATAGAGAAAGTTAAACAGTCAAAAATCTTTTCACTTTGGGAACTGAAGGATTGTGCAGAATAAAATACTGCAATATTGCTAATGATAACTGCAAAGATCCAGACAAAATCTTTCAATTTTTAGAATATTGGCTTTAACTCTGAGTCAACATCATGATGCGTTGTATGGAGTTCATGTCACACCAACAACAGCCAGTTAAAAATAAGACTGAAACAGTCTGACACTCTAAGTGACTGTTTGCTAAATGACTGCACAGAGAGAAAGATAGACATCTGTTATGCTACAGTGTTACATGTTGTAATGTCTTCTAGCTATCTTAAAGTTTTTGTGCGTTTCTCAGATCTGAATAATAATCCAACATCTGATTGCTTTATTGTTGTCACATGTATTGAGATACAGTGAAAAATGTTGTTTTGTGTGCTATGCAGGCAGATCATACCATGCAAGGTGCATCAGGGTAACAGAACGGAGTGCAGTATACAGTGTCACAGCCACAGAGAAAGTGCAGAGATAGAGAGATCAGAATTAACATTTGACAGGTCCATTCAAAAGCCTGATAACAGGGGTTCTTGAATCTACTTGTATGTGTATTCAAAGGTTTATATCTTCTGCCCGATGGAATAGGGTGGAAGAGATATAACCGGGGTGGGAGGGGTTTTTAATTATGTTGGCTGCTTTCCTAGAGGCAGTGAGAAGTGTAGATAGAGTCAATGGATGGAAGGCTGGTTTGTGTGATGGACTGGGCTGTGTCACGACTTTCTGTTATTTTTATTGTTCTTGGGAAGAACATTTGCCATACCAAGCTGTGATGCATCCGGATAGAATGCTTTCTATGGTCTAATATATAAATATCACGTGTCCTGCGATGGGCAGAAACAGGCCATTCACTTTTTAAAAAAATGTCTATAATTACTTTACTCTCTTCATTTTTTTTTCTGTAGCTCTTCTGGCTGTTGGGCTCCACAATAGAGATCTTGTTGGCATACCTAATTATCCCTACATTGGGCTGGCGTTGGCTTGTGCGTATCTCTACTGTACCAAGTATCATTCTGCTGGTGGTATTTAAGGTGAGACAAAACAATCTTTCCATTCTCAACCCACAGTTTTGACAAATCTTTGATCCACACATTTTTAATTGACAATAATGTAGCTACTGAAGGTTCTGCTCAAAGGGTAAAAATCCTATATTAGAGGATACAGGTAGTACACAGAGGCTGAAATCCTCCTTCCTGCGTCAGCTCAGTTTTACTGCTCATTCTCCCCACCCGCTCGTCTGTTCAAACTTGCATATTGAATATCTTGCCTTGTTTCAACTAATGTTGATTCTTTCCATTTTAACATCCATTGTGTTCTTATTAAAAGGCGTTAGTGACAGCCTCAGAATTAGAAGGAGCTGACCAGAGATTTGAACACACAACCTATGGTCATCTTCCCAATGCAGTACAGAAGGGGTGCTGTATGGTCAGGTGTGCCATCTCTGAGAAGCGGGATTGTATTTTTATCCTTGACGTAGACAGTGGGAGCTGGGAGAATTCCTGGCTTTGCACCCCTGCATTGGGAAATACTGGCTCCAGAGGAGACATCTTCATTACCACAGGGTTGGGACGTAGCAACTGTAAGTCAGATCAGCCAACCTTGGAAAACGTACAGAGAGAGCCACTGGGGGTAAATGGCTGTGGAGATCAGCTGTTTAAAAGAGCCAAATGTAAAAACAAGATGAAGGGCCTACAGGTCTCGCACTCACATCCTTTCTCCTCTCTTAAGACTGAGTTGAAAAAGAACTTCTTCATCCAAAGGGTTGTGAATCTGTGGACTTCCCTGCCCTGTGAAGCAACTGAGGCTACCTTATTTAATGTTTTTAAGGCAAAGGTAGATTTTTGAACAATAAAGGAATTAAGAGTAATGGGGAGTGGGTGGGTAAGTGGAGCTGAGACCATGCAAAGATCGGCCACGATCTTATGGAATGGAGGAACAGGCTCAATGGGTCAGATGGACTACTCCTGCTCCTATTTCTTATATTCTTGTGTTCTCCCCTCACACACTTTGCATTCTTCACCTAAACACCTTCTTGGTCCGGCATACATTCCCCCTTTGACAAGGTATGACATTTTGATGATCATTTACCCATTCTACACTGTATGGAAGCAATGAATCCTTTAGCAACAGTTGAATTTATTAAAAAATAATTGAAAAAAATCTCCATTCACTGCAGAACAGTAAAAGTCTCAATCATCCAGGCCCTTTCAAGTGTCAATATCTGATATCACTACGCACTTGAAACCACTTAATGTTGTACATGTGAGCATTGTGAAATTGTTGGTTAAGAACAGACAGTCAGAGCTGTAAATGAAGCAAAGGTTCAGATGTTTCAGTCCTCTAATGGATATCTGGGCTCTCAGCCACACCCCGCTTATGTATTCTTGCCTGAGAGCCTGGACAACTGTTACTACCTTGAAACACCCAAAAACATTGATAGAACAGCTGAAGATAACACAGTGTGGAGCTGGAGGAACACAGCAGGCTAGGCAGCATCAGGGGAGTGGGAAATTTGGCATAATTTCCCACTCCCCTGATGCTGCCTAGCTTTTTTTTTTTTTCCTGCTCATCTGATGCTGCCTGGCCTGCTGTGTTCCTCCAGCTCCACACCTTGTTATCTCAGACTCCAGCATCTGCAGTTCTTACTACCCACTCTTATCATTGTTATGTTAACTATTTATCAAGGAAAAGACCAGTGATCAAGAAAGTGAGCAGGGTACTGATGTCAATACTTGTAGCAACAGTGCAATTGGAAGAGGCATAATCCTTTGGTGAATTTAAATTGTGGCTTGTTATATTTTGTTTGAGTCTCCATGAAGAACATTCATTGGCGAGTTCCTCAGCATTTGGATGTATTGGAAAATATAAACAAATGCAAACCACTCTACTGGAGTGGCACGGTGGCTCAGTGGTTAACACTGCTGCCTCACAGTGCCAGGGACCTAGGTTTGGCCTCACCCTTGGACAAAAGTGTCTGTGGCCATTCTCCACATGTCTGCGTGGGTTTCCTCTGAGTGCTCCGGTTTCCTCCCTCAAGTCTAAACATGTGCAAGTTCAGTGGATTGGCAGTGGTATATTTCCCATTGTGTCCAGGGATGTGCAGGCTAAGTGGATTAGCCATGGGAAATGCAGGGTTACAGGGTTAGAGTAAGGGAGTGGGTCTGGGCAGGATGCTGTTCGGAAGGTCAGTGTGGATCAGATGGACCGAATGGCCTGCTTCCACACTATATGGATTCTATGAGTAGTTCACCACAGAATTAAAATGGTAGTACCCAGTGAATTATCTGAAATTTCACAGAAATTTCTAGTCATTACAGAAATAGCTGGAATTCACCAAACGAATCCAAAATTATGCCCCAGTTTAGGGAACAAAGAATAAGTGTGTTTGCAGCCTGGGTGTGGAATTTCTTTGATATTTCTGTTCGAAATGTAATAAGATAATCAGTTGTAACAGTAGAAGGGAGAGATGTGAACTGATTAAAACATACTTTATATTTTAGGTGTGTTCAATTGCTTTTTAACAAAAACTGCTGCAAGCAAACACAAGGTGTTATATAGAAAATACTCTCGCAGTTGCACAACAGACGGTAAATTTTCGTCAAAATATTCATGAAGTGCAGTGACATGATTTTGAGTGGGAATTAATCTGCAGTGACCTGTTAGTGAACGGAGAATTACTGACGTTAGTTGGATGTGTCTGTATTAACTTCTGTTACGAAGGAGTCCTCTCCTGATCTGGCATTTCCATGCCAGCTCCATCCATACCTGCTTCACTTCTGCCTTTGTGTTTCTGTTCTTGTCAAAATTAAATCACAGTCTCCTTGATTGATGACCAACAATCTCATCTCATACTTTGGCTCTCTGTAGTACTATTTATTGGCATGCTTTCTATTTCCTTCCTCATGAGAGATTTGTCACCAAAACTTTCTCAAATGATTTCCTCCCCCTTCAGAGTTGATAAAAGTGTTAATCCGATATTTTGTCGGCCAGAGAAACACCTATATACACTTCAAGTTCCATAATAGATTGTTGCCCACATTTATTTCATAGTTCACCCCATTGATTGTTACACTTGCTGCCATCTATCTCATTGTCCATCCATTAATCCAGCAATTATGCATCATCTCATCAATACGCCATTCATTCTCCCAGTGGCTACCCATTCATTGCATATCTGTTGTGCTGAAATTCCATCGTCTCTCACTTTTCCCAGTGTATTCCAGAATCAGCCCGATACAATGTTTCTGTGGGGAACTCTCAGTTTGCCACCAAGACCCTGGATTACATTGCAAGAATGAATCGATCCTGCCTCCCTCAGGGCTCTTTGATGGAGTCCGAAACAGTAAGTCTAAAAGAAACATTCATTTTCACGGCAGGTAAATTCCAATTAGTTGAAGAAGGCTGCATTGATACATCATCCAGAATTATATGTTAAAATCAGAGTTTTAAGAGGGAAATCCTTTTTTAGGATGCATCAAAAGTTAGCAGTTTTCCAGTTTTTAAAAGGGTAGTCTCCATGTTTCATTTCTCTTCAAGTTCAGGCTGATAATATGGTGTCTGGTCCAAATAGACTTGGCATAAATTGCAGCCCGGAAGTCAATGGATTATCAAATGTGTATATAATAGGAAAACAATTAATATGTTTCCACAAGGTCAAAAGGTAAAATTGGATAATCTTAGACTGTTCTAGCAAAGAGCTGACATTGTTATGCTCTAGTAGCCTCCTACAATGATTTAATCTCTATACTTGAGTTAAAGTTAGTGGGTTCAATGGAAACACTCGGTGGGATATTTTTCTTGGGATTCTGTTTTGTTGTATACTCAATTCCTGAAGGCTGCTAATGAAGATTGGTTAAAGTTGTTACATTATTCATTGCAGCGATTATAAATATCATTTTCAAACCAGATTTCCTTCTATCTGAGCTTCTGAGGAATTAGCAACGTTTACATTTAGCAAATTGCTGAAAAGTTTTTGATCAGGACTAACTTGGCTATGTCTTCTCTAGTTGATTTGGGGGTGGGTGTGTCTATGTTTAGTTTCAGTACCCTGAGCTGAAGCCTTATGTAGCTGATGCCCTTGAAATTCCACACAAGAGGCATGGATTTCTACTGTTCAGAAGATGTGTCTGCCTGCAAAAGTTGTCACTCGTTTGACTAGAAGGAAGAAAATATTTGTGATATAGTTGAAATGGAGCTGTTTTGCACTCTGTGAACTCTTGCGAAACAATGAGTTGCATATCAGTTCATCGGGTTTTAATGTTGTTGCTTAAGGGAGTGCTATTACACAGAATAATTGAAATGACAAAAACTTTGAGGGTTTGAGCTGTAGGGAGAGGCTGAATAGGCTGGGGCTATTTTCCCTGGAGTGTCGGAGGGTGAGGGGTGACTTTATAGAGATTTATAAAATCATGAGGGGCATGGATACGGTGAATAGCCATGGTCTTTTTTGCAGGGTAGGGGAGTCCAATACCGGAGGGCATAAGTTTAAGGTGAGAGGGGAAAGATCTAAGATGCACCTAAGGGGCAACTTTTTCACGCAGAGTGTGGTGCGCGTATGGAATGAGCTGCCAGAGGAAGTGGTGGAGGCTGGTACAATTACACCATTTAAAAGGCATCTGGATGGGTCTATGAACTTTACTGAGATAACCGATGACTTTGCCAAATTACTGACTTGATTTCTTTCTTTGTCCGTAGCAAATCAGGGGAAGAATGTCTGACTTGCTGGGTGCAGAATTCAGACGCACAACCTTGCAGTCCTGGTTCATCTGGTAAATGCTGTCTACCTACAAACTACAACCAAACATTTAAACAAACACATAAATATTCTTTGAACACATTGTGTAGATCTTTTTTTCTTTCCTGCCCTAACTTTCCTATTTTTTTAAAAATCTGATGGCAAGTTTTTCTAGTTAATCTTCTCTCTCTGCTCCTAAATATTTCTGAGCTACAGGTTCCCCTGAAAATATCTGATATTCCTCCCCTACCTCACTTTGGCAATGACTAATCAACATAGTCAGAGTTGGATCTTTGAACTGAGAAAGACAGGACAGCTTAGCCCAATTCTGTCTTCCACCTGACCTTCGAATCGGTTTCCCAGTTTCCTCTACACAGTAAGCAAGTCCGGCAAATTGTTGCTTAAAGCATAGATTCAGCTATAAAAATGGGAATAATTTAGTCCAGGAGACTCGGGGTTCCTCTGATGAGCCCAGAGATCAGTGGGGTTCTTGAGCGAGTGAGAAGAGTTCAGTCGATTGTGATCACCCAGTGGCCAGCCAACTGGAGGAAGTGATGAGAGGGGTCCACCCAGTTACTTCCCCAGTGGTGGGGATGGGTCCTGCTTCTGATGTCTCTGGTGTCAGCAGACACCTCCCTTGGTGCTGCTCCTCTCGTGCCTTCAAAATTGGGCTCTCCGCTGGGTGTTAACTTGGCAACAAAGTGTTTCTGTCTGCTACCCCTGGAAATTCGTGTCCAATTCTGTTCCCCTCAGTCTGTTCCATTAGCCCAGCCCACTCTAAGGTGTGCCCCTCAGATTGTTCCCTTAGCTCCTTCCCCTCTGATCTAGGCCTCTTGGTGTATTCCATTTGTTCCTGCTCCCTCAGATTGTAACTTTGCAGACTCATTCCATCCTGCTGTTGAGGGGTGCTCTGAAATGACCATAGTATCTCCTGGCTTCCTAATTGGTACCTGTAAGTACATTTCAGCATCGAGCAAATGCATGCTGCCATCTTCTTGATGATCAGAGTTGCTTTCTAGCCACATTGAGGTGATTTCATTAACTTGTTGCCTCTCTTGCCGAACATTTATTTCAACCATTGTCTTCCACCATGGTCACTCCTGCTTATCCAGTCACACCTGACTTGTGTTTGGAGGATATCATGCCATCAATAGGGAGAACAGGCCCAACCTCTCAATTTCACCTTGTAAGAAAATCCCCCCACATCCATTATCAACCTAGTGAGCCTTCTCTGGGAAAATGTGTAGTTATGCACTTTATCAGAAAGAACAGAGGCACTGAATATTATTTAAATGGAGAAAGACTGCAGAAAGCAGCAGTACAGAGGGATCTTGAGGTCCTCGTGCATGAATCAGAAAAGGCTCACAAATGAGGAATGGAGTATAAAAATAGGGAAATCTTGTCAAAAATATGCAAGGCAGTAGTTAGACTATTTTTAGAATGCTGTGAACAGTTTTGATCCCCCTATCGAAGGAAAGATATACTGTCATTGAGGGTAGTCCAGAGAAGGCTCACTAGGTTGATAATGGGTGTGGGGGGATTATCTTACAAGGTGAAATTGAGGAAGTTGGGCCTGTTCTCCCTATTGATGGCATGATAGCCTCCAAACACAAGTCCTGCTCAAAAGGCCCATGGGGTAATGGATGTGCTTTCTTTTTGGCAAGTTTTAGCAATAATGTGTGTTTTGCTGAAACATAGCAACATGTATTGCTGGTTATATTGGTTAATGTTAAAATTAGGAACAGCACTAGGCCATTCAGCCTTTTAAGCCTGTTCACCATTCAATGAGATAATGGCTGATATTCTACTTCAACACTGTTTTCCTGCCCTTATTTGTGTTTCTGTGAGGTTTTTAAGAGTAAAAATCTATCGATCTCCATATTCAACATACTGAACAATTGAGCCTCCACGGCCCCCTGAGCAGAGAATTCCAAAGGTTCAGCATCTTCTAAGTGAAGAAATTGCTCCTGATTGATTGATTTGATTTATTGTACGTGTACCTAAGTACAGTGAAAGGCTTTGTTTGCGAGCAATACAGGCAGATCATAGTAAGGAAGGGCATACAGGTCATAGGGTGAAAAAAAACTTGGACAAAGTAAGGCATACAAGTTACACCGCACAGATGTGCGCTAGGTAAGATCAACATTAACAAGATCAGCATTATTTGAAGTTAGAATGTCTATTCATCACTCTAATAATGGCAGGGAAGAAGCTGTTCTTGAGCCTGCCTATGTGTATGTTCAGGCTTCTATATCTTCTGCCTGACAGAAGAGGTTGTAGGAGGTCATTACCAGGGTACAATAGGTCTTTGATGATGTTGGCCGCCTTTCCACGGCAGCAAGCTGTGTAAATAGAGTCCACAGATGGAAGGTTGACTTCTGTGATGGTCTGGGCTGTGCACACAACCTTCTGTAGTTTTTTACGGTCCTGGGTAGAGCAGTTGCCATACCAGGCCGTTATGCACCCGGACAGTATGCTTTCAATGGTGCATCTGTAGAATTTGGTGAGGGATGTTATTGACATGCCAAATTTCCTGCCCTGCCTGAGGAAGAAGAGGCATTGTTGTGCCATCTTGACTGTTGCATCTATGTGGGAAGTCCAGGAAAGGTCGTCAGTTATCGTCACTCTTCGGAACTTGATTCTCTCAACCTTCTCAACCTTCGCTCTGTTGATGTAGATGGGGGTGTGTTCTCCTTCTTTCTTTCTGAAGTCTACAAACAGTTCTTTAGTTTTGCTGACATTGAGAGACCGATTGTTTTCATTGCCCCATGTCACCAAGCCCTTTATCTCCTTTCTGTATTCTGACTCTGTTGTTTGATACCGGTCCTACTTACGGTGGTGTCATCAGCAAACTTGTAGATGGCGTTTGTTTAGAATTTGGCAACACAGTCATGGGTTTACCGAAAGTACAGTAGGGGGCTGAGTACATATTCTTTAGGGGGCTCCAGTGTTGTGTGGTGGAGGTGCAGTTTTCACTGATCGTGGTGTGTGGGTCAGGAAGCTGAGGATCCAGTTGCAGAGGGCAGAGCTGGGACTTAGGTCTCGGAGTTTTGAGATCAGTCCGGAGGGGAGAATAGTATTGAAGGTGGAGCTGTAGTCAGTCCCAAATGACCTGCAGTTTATTTTGAGATTCTGGTTCTAGACCCTCCAGCCAAAAGAAACACCCTTCCTGCACCCTCCCTGTCGATTCCTGTAGAAATTTTGTAAGTCTGAATGAAATCATCTTCTAAACTCCAGAGAATGTATACCCAGTCTATTTAATCTTTCCTCACAGGACATTCCTTCTATTCCTGCAATTAATTTGTTACAATTTTATTGCACTCCCTCTTAGGGAAGCATGTCACAATACTCCAGTATCGTCATACCAATGCTCAATTGCAGTAAAACCTTTACTCAAATCATCCTGTAATAAATATACTATTTGCCTTCTTAATTGCTTGCTTACCTACATGTTAACCTTCAGTGACGCATAAACAAGAACACCCAAGTCCTCTTGAAGTTCAATACCTCCTAGCCTCTCGTAACTTAAGAATTGTGCCGCTTTTCTTTTTAAATGCCAAAATGTATATCCTCATATTTCTCTACATTGCACTCCATCTGTGTTTTATTTTTGCCCATTCACTTAATCTCAATATTTTAAGCTTTTAATATATTTAGTCTGTGCCATTACTGTAAGTTTGAATTGATAATGGTGTAATGAGGGCAACGGGGCATCTGAGACCAAGGTGAACAATAATATATCTCCTTAAGCAACATGATTACCAGATTCAGACAGAATCAGAGGGGAGGTTGAGAAGGAGGGTGAATTCAATGTCAAGCTGGGGAAAAGAGAGAAACAAATAGAGGGAATGAAAGATGGAAATAACAGAAAGAAACTGTTAGCAAGAAAAAGTAAGGAGTATTTTTAAAATTTGACACTTGAAATCCAAGAACAACACTCCATGTGAGTCTTCATATTTTTTCTTCGCTGTTTAGACGAGAATGTTTTGTTGAAGTGATCAACACACTTAACGGGGTGTTTGTGTTGTGAATGATTAGAGTTAGCTTTCAATGAGTATTGAGGGAGCCTCTTGTGTCACGGTGGAAGTGTCCCTACCTCTGGACTGGAAGGCCCGGGCTCAAGTCCCACCTGCTCCAGAGGTGTGTAATAACATCCCTGAACAGGTTGTTTAGGAAAATTGAATAGGTAAAGGTAGCAACTTCATGAAAATTATGAAGGGACTGAGGGTGAGATACTATGTTTGAGAAGCTCATGGTGGAATGGTATATATAGGCTATAATTTGTAACAATTTATAACTTATGGGTTATATCTCCCTTGCTACATTTTTTTGGCTGATTTAGACATGAATTACGGAGTGCATCATCAAAACGGATGCAATTACTTTTTCAACAAAGTCTCGGCCAAAAATAATGTTTGGTATTTTTGGCCACTCTATTTGAAGAAGGCCTGAATGGGTTCACAAAAGCAATGGATCAACAGTATGAGATCATACTTCTTGACCTAGTTCACTTGAATCAGGCCTGTGATGCTTGCTATTTTGTAAAGATTTTCTGAAATACTATGCTGAAGCCTTTTGGTGAAATAACTTGAATTGAAGCCAGATGAAAGAAGGTACCTGTTTGAAGTAATCAACCTCCATGGTTCTTCTAGGTTGGGAACAGCATTTGCATATTATGGACTGGTTCTAACCAGCTCAGAGCTATTGGAAAACAACCCAGTCTGTGGCAGTGAGGGAGCTAACAAAGGATCCGATGTGGTTAATACTTTGGAAACCTGCCATTGTAAGATGTTCGAATCTGCAGACTACCAGACCATGGTCATCAGCACTTTAGGAGAATTCATGTGTAAGTAAAATCACTCCGTTTAAAATGTTAATTGTTATTCATCCTTTTTGTTACATTTAATTTGTTGAATTTCATGATCTTAAAGTGTTATCACTCTGAACACGATCAACGCTCAAGGATTGCCTTTTCCTGCCTCTTCCAAATGTCTTCAGCATAGAATGTGACACGTAATGAAAAAGAGAACTATCTCACAGCCAAGTAAAAAAAATTCCGAAAAATGTTACTGCAAGAATTGGCTGATGAAAAACAAATCACAATGTCTACTCACAGAACTTCAATGCCACATGACATCTACAACCAAGGTTATAGTTTCATGTCTTTCGTATTCTGCTCCTCTTGTGAGGAGAGCCTGTTTCATGAAGAAACATTGAGCAATTTATGCAAATGCATGCTACAGTTTAGAGGAATGAGGGGAAGTCTAATTGCGGTGTATAAGATGCTAAAGGGGATTGACAAAGTAGACATAGATAGAACATTTCTCCTTCTGTGGCAATCTAGAGTGAGATGTCACACTCTTAGACTAAGGGGTAGCAGATTTAAAACACAGCTGAGGAGGAATTCTTTCTGAGAGTTGTGACTCTATAGTGGATGCTGGAACAGAAAATACATTTAAGGAGGTGATAGACAGATGTTTAATGAATAAATTAGTATTTTTAATGAGTGAGGATGAAATGGAAGCATGGCAATAAATGGGAATGCAGGATGACAAGGGATACTGAAACTTTAGTCAAAAAGAAAAAGGAAACATATGTAAAGTTTAGGAAACTGAAATTAGGCAAGGACCATGAGGAATATAAAGGTAACAGGAATGAGCTTAAACAAGAAATTAAGAGGTCTAAAAGATGCCATGAAATGTCCTTGGCAATTAAGATTAAGGAGAATCCCAATGCACATTTGGAGCAAGACAGCAGGTGAGAGAAAGGGCAGCGACAGGATCTACTCATATTTGGAAAACAATGGACCTAGCAGGTTAGTCAGCATGGCTTTGTGCAGGGGAGGTCTTATCTCACAAATGTGATTGAGTTTTTTAAGGAAGCGATGAAGATGATTGAAGAGGGTAGGGCACTGAATGTTGCCTACATGGACTTTACTAAAGCATTTGACAAGGTCCCTACCGACAATGTTGACTGGTTCAGGGGATTAAGCCACATGGGATCCATGGTGAGTTGGTAAAATGGATACAAAATTGGCTTGATCATAGAAGACAGAGGGAAGTTGTAGAGGGGTGTTTTTCTGCCTGAAGGTCTGTGACTAGTGGTGTTCCACAGGATCTGTGCTGGGACCTCTGGCGTTTGTAATATATATGTGATTTGGATGAAAATGCATGTGTCTGATTTCAGATGACACAAAAATTAGTGGTGTTGTGCATAGTGAGGCAGGATATCAGGTGATGTAGCAATATATAGATCAGTTGGAAGGTTGGACAGGACTGTCAAATACTTGGGGACATAGGTTTAAGGTAAAATGGGGTAAGTTCAAGGAAATATGTGAGGCAGGTTTTTACACGCAAGGTAGTAGGTGCCTGGAACGCACTGCCAGGAGAAAGTGGTAAAAGCAGATACAATTGCAATGTTTAAGAGGCATTTAGACACATGAACAGACAGGGAATAGAAGGACACAGACCATGTGCAGGCAGCTGGGATTATTTTAGAATGGCATTGTGGTCAGCACCGACATGGTGGGCCAAAGGGCCTGTTCATGTGCTGTACTGTTCTATGTTCTAAGTCAATAATGACAAATAATGTTGTCTCAGCCATAAGCAGAACGCTGTCACTCTCAGGAGAAGAGAGGAGATGGCAAGCCAGCTCCTGGTACAAGAACAAAATGTGGAGATCTTCCTCTGGTGATGGGGTTAAAAAGGCCATATGGAATTCTTGGTGTTATAAATAAATGGACTATAGATTGTCTAAGCAAAATGTTCACTCAAACCTACATTATAACATAAAGAATGGGAGCAGCAGCAGGCCATTTGCCTCTTGAAGTCTGCTCCACTATTCAACAAGATCATGGGCAATCTTCAACCTCAATGCTAGCTTCTTCCACCATCCTTCTAACCCTTCATTCTATTAGCATCCAAAATGCTATTAATCTCTCCCTTTAGTATTCTCAGTGAGTGGGAAGCCGCAGCCTTACGGGGTGGTGTATTTAACATTTCAATGCTTTGAGCAAAGAGATTCCTTCTCAGCTGAATCCTAAATAATCGACACTTCATTCTGAAATTGTGACACATGCCCCAGTTTTGAACTTCCCAGTTAAGGGAAAGCAACCTCCCTGCATCTGATCTGGAAACTCCGCTATCCGTTTTCTATGCTTCAATTAGATCACTCCAACTGTACAGTACTCCAAGGAGTGTAGGCCTCACCCCATCCATCACAGGGAGATGGATGAGTGACCAGAGGTGCAGGGTAATACGCTAGACACAGTGGTTTGGATTCTGCGATGGCGGCTGGTGGAATTTAAATAAAATTAATAAAATCTGAATTTGAAAGCTCGTGACCATGGATCCATTATGAATTCTTGAAAAAACATTTTATGTTTCACTAATGTTCTTTTAGGGATAGAGATCTGCCATCCTTAGCTGGTCTGGCCTGATCCACAGCAAAGTGGTGGACTCTTCAGTGCCCTCTGAAATGGTCCATCAAGCCACTCAGTTCAACAGTAATTAGGGGTGGACAACCAATGTTGATCTTTCCAGCAATGCTTACATCCTGTGAAAGAATTTTAAAATAAATCTAATCTCCTAGGAGAATTCCCTTATCTCAAGCATCAATGAACTGCATTCCCACATGGAGTGTATGCACGCTCAGGTGATGAGTGATATCTGATAATACTCTTCGAGAGTGAAGGGGTGACTTGATTTCATGCAGAAAAGGAATTCTGCCCCTCAGAAACAGGATCTGCGTTGACAAGCAACTCTGTAGTCCCAGCAGTGCCAGGAGAGAGTCGTGGTCACTGCTGGGATTACAAGCAGTCGCCACAAAGAAGTGAAAGTCTTCAGGTTCATATTGGGAATTTTCACTGAAAAATCAGGAAGATCCCAACGAAGGCAGGTTGGGTGAGGTTTGGAGGGGTTTACATTTAGAGAGGCCAGGTGAACAGGAAAATACAGGGGTACCATTTTGAGTGAGAGGAGTGGGGTGTACCAATAGGATGCAGTGGACTATCCACTAAAGTACATTGTCCCCCCTTTCCTGTTGCCACAGCCTTCACACTAAATAATTTTGGTGGATGTGGAATGAGGTCCTTCGGTGGGGATTGGTTGTTGACTAAAAGGTCTTCATAGGCCTGAGGGCAGACATGATGTGTGATGCCTTTCTCATCTTTAATATGGGTCAGTGCAGTGGGGGCTATTCTAGTGCAGTGATAGTATCCATACCAATGAGCTGGGAGGTCTGGTTTCAAGTCCCATCTGCTCCAAAGGCATCTTTGAAAAAGTTGATTAGAAAAATATCAATAGGCCAGAGCAAAAGTAGATGATACTGACTCATGGATCTACTCTGTCATTCAATATATTCATGGCTGATTGCCTGCCTCAATTTGATTTTTGTGTGCACACCCCATTATTCCTTGATGCACAGTTCAGTAGATCTTAGGTTCAACACTAGAATTAGCTAAACAGTCTCATCATAGCTGGATAACGTCACAATTTCTTTTAGAGCTTTGCTTTAAAAGGAAAGACAAAATCAGCCAGAGTTCCCATTTCTGACTGTTGCTCAGTGACCTGTGTCTCTCTGTTTCATATCTGGTGAGAGCAAGGTTAGAATTGGACCTGATGCCCCATGTGTCAAACAGATCGCTTGAATTGGGGTAAAAGACAGTCCCTCGTAAATTAACAGTACTATTAACTAATTATAAATGATACATTTATCCTTCCAGAGATGCTTCTTAATTTTGTAAGGATTGGTTTATGAAAGTAACATGACTGGAATTCAGCCATGTCTATTGAACAAGAATAGAATTATTACACTTAAGGTACTTAATTGAGGATTGCATTTGAAAACAGGTTCCGTGTAGAATGACATGGGTTATGTGATGACAGTAGCAGCAATACAGGTCTTACATTAGCTGTAAATAGGCATCCAAGGTTTGTGAAGAACACTTGTAAACATGTGTTTCTTCTTTGTATCTCAGGGAGATTTCCTGATCAAATGAGTTTCATAAAAATATTGTCATATTTTTAATTTATCTCCTGCTCAGAACCATAGGCACTTCATTAAAAGAAAGCTTTGAGTGTTCCTCATGACTAACTCTGGCATTGAGCAAATCCAGGCATGACTGTACACTGATTACATGGTAAGAATCAGATTCAATTTGCAGGTGCTTGTGGCCTGTGTGAGTAAAATTAATAAAAAGGCTACTGTTATAATAAACAAAATGACTTTCTTCTGATATATGAGACCCAACAGTTGGCGTTAACAGTGTACGCCCAGGCTGTCCCTCATGCCCTATCATTGCCATAGTAAGATTACAGAGCCATGTTCCTGTGATACAGTATTGGCCTAACTACAAGAGTGTTCTCACCTCGCAAAGCCTTGGTTTTATTCACTCTCTTCAACACACAGACTAGTGTTTACTGCAATGAACTGAATTCATATAATATGAGAAAGCACACATTCATTACCCAACGTCAAAATTGATATGACAGCATAGGTGAGATGCCACTCGGCCTTTCTTGCCTGTGCTGGCTCCTTGAGCAAACTATTCAATTCGTCCCTTTTCTCCATCTGTGCTCCATCTAAATAGTTTAAAATATTTGTACTGTGTTCCCTTTTTAAAAACTATGAAAGTAGATTTTCAACCAACCACTGCCACCCAATTATAAAGCTGGCATTACCATTATGGACCCTGCAAGCACCATGCTTTCTAATGTGCCTAATAGCCATCTGTGTTTTATTGGTCATGTTCTTTTGCTTATGGCCTCCACACAACAACTCACTGAGTTGCATAACCCTTAATCTACCTCACTAGTCAGACTAAGTAGCAGATAGTGACTTGAGTTAATTAGATGGCCATTGATCAAAGACCACTTAGAATTTTCTGGTAGTTTTGAATTTGCTGAAAACTCCGGGATGCATTGAGATTCTCAGAAACAAAGACCTATTCAGTATCACTTCACGGTGCCCACACTCCTGGACGTGGCTCTATGAGGACTAAAACAACCTCCCTTGGAGAAAATCTGGAACAAGAACATGTTCTTAATCGGAAAAGTCATGAGTAGTAATTGCCATGATGTTGGGAAATGGTGCAATCTTTCATCAGGATTTTAAGGTGTCAGCCTTAAAGTTGTGGTGGCACCCATGCCTCTGAGGCTGAAGGCTGTGGTCTCAAGTTACGCTCTAGGAATTTGGGCAGAAGATCTAAACCACAGTATTGAAGGAGTACTACACCATCAGAGGTGTTGTCTCCTGGATGAAACTTTATAAGGTGGATGTAAAAGATTTCAGGACACACACTTCCAAAAGACAACTTCCCTTGTGTCCTGGTCAATGGTCACATTTGCCCCTCAAGCAACACCTAGCACAAATGCTACTGAATTACCATTTGTAAGGTGTCCCTTAGACTTGGAGAATACTTCATTATTGTCAAGTGATTTTTGATGCCCTGATGTCTCAAAATAGACATGTATAATTACTTTCTTAAGGTCCCAAATCCACCATAAATAGCTCCCAGAAAAATCATTTTGCCATGTTAAACTCTCAAGCAGGCTTTAAACTGATGGTGGCATTTGTGGCTCAGCGGTTAGCATTGCTGACTCACAGCACTAGGGACCCAGGTTCAATTCCAGCCGTGGGTGACTGTCTGTGTGGAGTTTGCACATTCTCCCTGTGTCTGTGTGGGTTTCCTCCCACAGTCCAAACATGTGCAGGTTAGGCAGGTTGGCTATGCTAAATTACCTGTAGTATATGGGAAATGCAGGGTTACGGGGAGAGGATAGTGAGTGGGATGCTGTTCAGAGGGTTGGTGTGGGCTGAATAGCCAGCTTCCACTCAGTAGAGATTCTCTAATGCTCAGCTCATCGTAGTAAATGGATCAATGCAACACCAGGCAGAATATTTTGGCTTTATTAAATAGTTCACGTAAGAGTGAAAATTGCTTTTTTAAAAAAAAACAAAAGATTTTTGTTCAAGGTAATTGTCAGTGAGTGGTCACTTTCAGTGAGACAGATGATGTCTTCGGCCTTAAATAGTCTCACACCGATACTGTCCACGCGATGACTGGCAAAATGGGTGAGAAGCTGGAGGCCTGTCTCACGAACAAAGTGAAGTAAGACGATAATTTGCATTTAGTTAATTCCTCAATTAAACAATGTAAAGCCAACATCAAATGTTAGTTGTTTTTAATCAGGAGTTTCGTTTATTTGCTTATAAATATCACAAGGAAGATGTGGTAGGAAGATAGCACTGTCACCAAACAATAATCTAAAGAAAAATTGAAAAACGCTGGAAATCTGAAACAAGAACGAATTTGCTGGTAAAGCTCAGCAGGTCTGGCAGCTTCTGTGGAGAGAAGTCAGAGTTAATGTTTCAGATCATTCCTCAGAGGGTCACTGGGCCCGAAACGTTAACTTTGTTTTCTCTCCCCAGTAATCTAGAGATCTAAACTAATACTCTGTAGCTTGATTCTCATTACAGCTGATGGTGACATTTTAACTAAATTAAGGAAACCTACTCGAATGGTAACCAATTGTTGTAAAATGCACCTGGTTCACTAACACCTTTTAGAGAAGGAAAACCTGACATCCTCACCTTGTCTGGCCTACATGGGATTCCAGAACCACAGCAACGTGGCTGATGTTAGATGACCTGGCCAGCCATTCAGTTCAGGGGGAAATTAAGGATGGACACCAAATGTTGGCCTTGCCAATGACGCCCATATCCTTTGGCAGAATTAAAATAGAAAACAAATCTCGAGGCAATTGAGCTGAATTATTCCTGTCCATATCTTATTGTCCAACCTCTTTTCTTTCAGTTATTCCATTTAGCCCGTTTATCATCGAGTCTTTGGGAAGACGTCACAGTCTGGCAGTCACCATGGCAACCTCTGGGATTTTCTTCCTTCTCCTCAACATCTGCAGCAGCAGGTAAGATGGCTATTGGCTACTGGTTCTGAGCCATCATCTCTTGGCTGTTGTGAGAAAACTCTTCCTACGATATCCATTGAGCTCTACAGTCAAAAAAAAGTACTGCAAAATGATTTCATGTGCCATGGATCTTCCAGGCAGACCTCCATCATCCCTTCACCTACTTCGATCTGTTTCACTTTGGCCTGATTTTCCATCTTCATGTTCTCCATTATCCAGCTGTCCCTACCATTTCAGTCCCTCTTATTCTGAATCCAGTCCTTCACCAGTCCTTTTCCTCTCAAGCTCTATCTTCACTGTAGTTGCCCTTCAACCTCTCCAACTATTACACCTCTCTTTTACTCATATTCCTTACTTTCACTCAGCTATCATTTGAACATACTCCCTTCCTTTTGTGTATCCCTCCTTTACCCACAATCACCATCTTTTAGAGTCATTTTTCACCTCCAATTCTTTTCTTCACCATACCTGTCCCTTTGTTATTCCTGGTGCTAAATGTTCTTCAAAACCTAATCTTCAGGAAATTGCGATCTCTGCTGCAGGCTGAGTGGTTAATTTGTAACTCTCTCGCTGTTTAATTTAAGAACTGCTTAATTGTTGTTACAAATTTTGCCAAAACACAGGGCACGTAGCAAACTGCGATTGTGACAGTACTTTTGGTTCGCTGCCCTTCCCAAGACTTACAAACTCAAGATCCAACTTGCGAACCACTTAATAGGATAATAGTGATCCTTCAGAAAGACGGGAGGCACATCATTGACCATATCTCATCTGAGAATGCACGCTCAGAAACGGTGTGCATGCTGGTCTGCAATCCAAGATGGCTTTTGCCGAAGTGATGCCAATTATCAGAGTCTTTTTTGTGATTTTTGCTGCTTGCAGATCCAGCCTCAAGGATTAGTACTGTAAAAGGAAAAATGAAATCCCAACAACATTCTTCCGACACATGCTTCATTCCCCAAGCAAACCATGTTCCTGTAATTTAAGATTTTAATCAGATTTGCCTTCCCAGTTCAGAATTTCTCTTTCCAATAATAAGCCACTTGCTCTAAATGTCACCAGGCAAAGGCATTAATTCCTCTGTAGCTGCAGGTATTTTATGTGCTGTTGGTTGATGTAAATCATTGCCTGATGTATCATTGTCATGTTCAGTGGTGAACACTCTCACCAACTGACTGCAAGTACAAGGCATGCTCAAGCGCTTTGTGCGCACAATCTCGGGTGACACTACAGTGTTGCATTTTTGCAGGTGTCGCCTTTCCGAGAGGCTGCCAATTCTGATACTTAAGCACGTGCAATGCAACAAGAATTAGATTACATCCCCTGAAATATCCAAAGTACTTGTGGAAAATCAGATCGCATCCACTTCAAACCAGCAAATTATGCACTTGGCTTTGTGTTCGTTACTCTTCTGAATTGCAAGATCCATCGATTCAAAGATCGAACACATGTTGATACTTAATTGCACAATGTTGAAGGAGTGAGAGGTACTCTCTTTCAAATGGAAGATTAAGATAAGGACCTCTCGGCTGGACGTAAAGGATTCCATGACACTTGTTCAAAGGTGAACAGTTACCTCTGGCATTCGTCCTGAAGTTTCAGTTCCCCAACCAGCATCATTTAAAATGGATGATCTGGTCATTACCACATTGCTGGTTGTGGGGCTTGGCTATGTGTAAGTTAGCACATTACACAAGTTGCTGTATGGTAAAGGTACTTTACTGCCAAAAAAAATCACTTTGGGGCATCTTGAGAATTTGAAAAACGACATATAAATGCAAACATTCCTTTCTTTCCTAGGGCTGTGTTGACCACTTTACTTTTTGTTCTCCGAGCCCTTGTGTCTGCAAATTTCACCATCATCTATATCTACACTGCAGAGGTAGGTAGGAAAAAGGGGACGCTCGTTGTGAATATAAATGGGGAACTGGACCCTGCCACGCAAGGCAACACTGTTACCTCTGGTGAAATTTAAGAAGTTGTTTTGGGAGAATATTTTTCTGCTCCAAGCAGTTTTTTCATTGTACTTTTGCTGTAAGAATAAGCTTAATTACGCAGTTCAATTAAATCTGCAGTCTCTCGAGTGCAGTAATGTTCTGTGTTAGCCCTGATGCTGAAGCATGCTTGGAGTGACTTCAGTGGAAGTAGCTGGGGTGTGGGTGTGATAATTCCAAAGCCGAGCTGAGGCCTATCATCAGATATTGGCAGCCCAACGCTTCTAGCCCCTGATCAGCAAACCTGGCTACGGCATTCTCCAAAACTGAACTCAAAATGTTTGTTCATTGTTGGGCAAGCATTACAAATAGTCTTCAGAAAAAAAACACCTTCCACCCCCTCAAATGTATTTGGATTTTAATTCCCAATAGGCAACAAAGACCTTCTTTGCTATAGAACAGAAAAGTAAGTAACTGCAGCGCTTTGTGGAAAGAATGGGCAAGTCAGATTAATTAGATTGCTCTCTTCAAAAGACAAGGCAGGCATGATGCTGCCTTTGCCTCATGTTCATTGGGATTCTGCCTTGTATGAACAAATGCAAAGAAACTCTTGATAGGTTGGAACATAACTAAAACAGGTTATGGGGTGATAAGGTTAAACTGTATAATATTATAGAAGGGTGTGACAGGATCAATAGATACAGAATGTTTCCTGCAGTTGAATATAATGCGGGACCCTAGCTAACTGTATGAAATTTCAGATTTAGAGCAGAGAGCAGGGAAGATGTCTTTACACGAGGAGCTTTGAGGCAGTGGAATTTATTTTCTAGGGTTAGGAATTGAGGTGAAAGACCAGATTAGACAGGTGGATGAAAATTGATGAAGGATATATGAACCAAGAAGGTAAATGTGATCAGTCCTATTTGCTCATTTAGAAAGAAGAAACCAAATGATCTCTCCTCATTTTGGAACATCTATGATTTTCCATATTCCAAAATCATGAAGTGGTTGCTGAAATCTTCTCCCTCATCGATACTTCCCTGTCACATTCCTATAGTCAGCTTAATCTTACTGTACTTCCTAATTTGCTTTGGTACCTGGAGTTCAGCAAGGGAAATAAAATTCTATATTGAATGGGGAAGAGGAGGCAGAGTACATCTGAAGATTATCACTTCATATTTGAGATATTAATTTGGTCTTTGTGAGTTTGTTGCTGGTGTACTGCTTCTACAAAGTGCCCGTTAGGGAATCAGGGTATTGGCAATGTCAGTTCGGTTTAGAGACCAGTGTCTTGTGAGGCTACAGAACCAGAGAGAAAACCTTGCTGAATGTATCCCTGATCATTCTGAGGTACTTTATTGCATGCCATCACATCATTTTGGTTGGTTTGTGCAACAATTCTTGGCTCTTTAAAACCAGAATAATTATTTAGTTTTTGTGCGGTTCTAAATCAAAGCAAATTCATTATAAATTCTCAGCAGCGTGAGCCAGTGAAGGGAGTACAGGTCAGAGATGTGGCTACAAATTATACAGTTTCCCTACTTTACAACCTGAGTTGTTAACCCTGCTGGGGAAATGGAACGGTCAAACTTGTCCTCAAGCCCATGTTGCAATGTTTAACTGAACACAAGTTGACTGGACCTGATTGTGCTCCATGCAATTTGAGAGTTATCTGCCATCATTCGTTTTTCGACCAAGTTAAATGGCAGGAAATGGTTCTCCTTGTGTATATTTTTAGTATATTTCACCTTCTTTTAAACACCAGGAGTCTAGTAGTTGTAAGGGAGCTTTTGGATTAATGATCTGAACCCAAGCCCTGGGCAAAACCTAATAAACAATTGTGTTTTAAATTTAATTAAGTTCTTCTTTCAGACTCTCCCTTTTGCTCTGGGTCTAACAGAATTTGTGAGGTTGGCATGAGTACCATTTCACCTTGTTCCTGGTTGAGAATTTAATATAGGTGTAGTTTTGTAGGAAATAAGAGGAAACCATATGACTCTATAAGATGACTGTTTTGTTTTCATACCAACTAAATTACAATCAACCCCTTTGTTTTAAAGCCAAGTAGAAAGTGACTGTTCAACACTGATGCAAAGGCTGACTAAAACTTGAAATAAACTAGAAAGTATCTGATCAGAGAGAAACAGAAGCACTTGATGACAGATCAACAGCCTGCAATGTTAACTCTGTTTTTCTCTCCACAGATTCAACCAAACTTCCGAGTATTTCCAGTGTATTCCATTTTAATTTCAGACTGTCAACATCGGCAGTATATTCCTCCTGTAATTTACAGGAGATTAAACGCCAGTCTACTCCTAAAACCAGAGCCCACCCTTATACTCACAATCAAATAGTGGGACCTGGCAGAGATTTGAGAACACAGTTTATCCTGATCAACCTGTTCAGAGATGATATTACCCAACCCCGGACCAAATGGGACTTGAACCCAGGCCTCCTGGTCCATAGATAGGGGACACTAACACTGCGCTACAACAGTCCTGGCAAGTTATCTAATTTTGCCTTGTCCATTGCTAGGCGTACTATAAGCTGCCAATGTGGTGGTCTTGACTTTTAAGGGAAGATGGGTGCAGGTACTGAGCAGTTGAGCCCTGAAATGCTGCTTGTACAGAATCCAACTATTTTTGGAAAATTACAACCAATGCATCCACTATCTTGTGCCCACCTCTTTTAGAATCCTAAGATGCAGCCATCAGGGCCAGGAGACTTCTTTGCCATTAGCCCCATTAGTTTGTCTAATGGTACTACTTTAGTGATGGTGATAGTACTTAATTCCTCCCCTATATTCTTTAGCATTAATGGGATGTTTGAAGTATCTTCCACTGTAAAGACTGATGCAAAATATGTGCTTAACTCCTCTGGCACTTGCTCGTAGCCTATAACCCTCTCCCCAAATTCATTTTCTAAGGGGCCTATGTTCACTTTGACCTCTTTCTTCCTTTTATTGTATTTAAAGAAGCTTTTATTGTCGGGTTTTATATTCCTTGCTAGTCTGCCCTTAATTATATTTTCTCTGTTTTTATTATATTTTTAGTTCTCCGATACTGGATTCTGAATTTATTCCAGTTTTTGGGACTATCACTGAACATTGCCTCCTTATATACATTTTCTTTCAACTTAATACACTCCTTAACTTCCTTGCTTAGCCATGGTTGGTTTATCCCTCTCTTAGAATCTTGTCTCCTTATTGGGATATATTTTTGCTGAGAGTCATGAATTACTTCCTTAGATATCTGCTGCTGTTTGCTTAGCTTCATTCCTGCTGATCTTTTGGGCCAGTTCACTTTAGCTAAGTCTACCCTCATTTCATTATAAGTTTATTTAAGTTAAACACAGTTGTTTCCAATCCAGGTTTCTCACTCTCAAACTCAATATTAAATTCCTTCACATTATGATCACTATTTCCTAGGGGATCTTACACTCTGAGGTTATTTCATTAAATGTGCCTCAATACCCATTACCTTATCCAGAATAACCTGTTCCCTGGTTGGTTCCATGACATATTGCTCTAGGAAACAATCCCTAATTCAATCTATGGATTTGTTGTCTTAGCTACCTGTTCCAATTTGATTAACCTAATGAACATGAAGATGAAAGTCATCCATAATTATTGCTCTATTCTTTTTACATACTCTTATTATTTGTTGATGTATAGCTTTTCCCACAGAATGGCTCCTGTTTGGGGGTCTGTGCACTTCACCAACCAATGCCCTTTTTCCCTTGTTATTTTTTTTGCCTCTGCCCAAATGGCCTCTACACCATCCAAGCCTAGATTATTTCTCACAATGGCCCTCTTTTTCATTTCTTATTAATAATGGTACACCACCACCTGTCCCATCCCTCCTGTCTCTCCAAAAGGCCAAAAACATATCTCTGAATATTAAGTTCCCAGTTTTGATCTCTTGTAACCACGTTTCCATAATGCCTATGACATCATATCAATTTTCCTTGATTTGTGACATCTGTTCATCTACCTTCTGAATGCTTCTTGCATTAAGATGCAAAGCCTTTAATTTTGTTCTAGTATTGAATTTCACTACTGTTTTATGATTCCTTTGTACAACATTTGCACATTCTGTACTATCCTTTCTTTCTTTCCTTCTGGTAACAATCAGCTGCATCACTAACCTGCATTCCTAACTTCTCTTTTGATTTTATCATTTTCCATGCAACTGAAAACCCCTCCCCACCCCCATACTATTTAGTTTAAAGCTCTACCTCCAGCCCTAGTTATGCAATTCGCTAGGATTCTGATCCCAGCATTATTCAGGTGGACCCTGTCCCAGTGGAACAGCTCCCTCTGTCCCCAGTACTGGTGCAAATGTTCCATGAATGTGAACCTGTTTCTCCCACACCAATCTTTGAGCCACATGTTCATCTCTAAAATCTTGTTGATCCTGGACCAATTAATTCATTTTTCAGGTGGTAATCCAGAGACTTTTGGTCTGCTTTTTAATTATTGCTAATTATTAATAATTTAGCCCCTAGCTGCTCATGTTCTGTCAGCAGATCCTCTTTCTACCTTTTTTTCGGTACCTACATGGACCACGACAACTGGATCTTTCCCCTCCCACTCCAAGTTCCTTGGCAGCCCAGATGAGATATCCTGAACCCCTGCACCAGGCAGGCAACACAGCCTTTGGGACTGTCGATCCTGACCACAAAGAACAGTCTCTATTTCCCTGACAATACTATCCCAGACTACAGCTCCATTTCTCTTTTTATCCTCTCTCTTGAGTGGCTCCCTGTACCATGGCGCTAAGATCAGTTTGCTCATCATCCTTCCTGAAACATGGCATGCAGGTAATTCTCCCCCTCCCAAATGTGTCACAGTGTTTGAAGCTCAGACTCCAGCTCATCTACTCTGAGCCAGAGTTCCTAAAGCAACTAACGCTTGCTACAGATGTGGTCACCATGAACCGCAATGGGGTCCACCAGCTTCCGCACTATGTAGTTACAACACACTGTCTGACCCTGCATCTCTACTTTATTTACTTATTTCTTAATTTATTTATTAAACATTTCCTACTAAGTCCTTTAGTTAATAATCTGTAAATATTTTTCCTGTTTACCTTCAATATGAAAGATAGTCAAATTACAATTACTGGATGTGTGCAACCAATGAATGTACTATAATTTCATCCGTTTTGTGCTGGGCCCCTGATCCTGAGCTTCAATTTATCCTGTTTTTAAAAAAGTAGCTTACAAACTATGAGCTGCCAGAGCAAGAAAAGAGCGCATCTTCCCCTCTGCACCGAATTCCCACACTGCTCCAAATTCTCTGAAGTATATACTCACTCCGGCTGTGTCTCACTCCGGATGTGATCTCTCCTTCCTGTCCATGCGAAGCTTACTGATGAAATCTTTTAAACTACAGATGCCACTAGCAGTAGCAGCAGACATTGGGGTCTGGAGGAGATCAGCAGCCGATTTAACCAGAATTGAGAGGAGACCCCAGAGCAGGGAGGCTGAAGGACTCTTGATGGGTGCTCAGGGGAGCACTGCTGATACTCCTGGCCAACGAGGAGTCCCGATAAGATTACTTGTTTGAGTTACTTAGGCCAGTTGACTCCACCTGCTATGGTTTTGTTGTCAGGTTCGATTGCCCCGCTGCGTGGATGTTAAGGCCTGGATTATTATGCTTCAGACCACATTGAAACAGAGGTGGGAGGCATTAAAATTATTGGCAGGATCTAGTTCCAGGATTCCCTCCTCCATTCCCATCTTGAGGTATTTTTATAGCTTCAGGATAAGGGTGAATGTCATGAGCTGCAGTCAGCAATCCCATCTACGTGTGTTTCAGGCCCCATGCTGTTTTCATGGTATCAGGTCCATGTTTTATTTTGAAGGCAATCTAGCTCACAGCAACACAAAAGAATCAAGAATCATGTGTCAATCCCCAAACCCTTTCTCCAGAAATAAACTGTCACTCACTTCTAGAATTCTTCGATCACTGGTTTTTGAAATGCAAAATATGTTGTTTTGAAGTCTCAAGAACTAGATGCTGGCTCTTAAGTTAATATGTTTTCATTGCACTAATGGATTATAGGGCTCTGTGTTGCAAAGGTAGTTTGGTTATTGCATTGATCAGCATTGTGTAAGTTTTGGCATGCATTGGAGTGCTTTATCCAAGGAACAAATGCCATAATGCATACAAAACTCTACTGTTGCCATGTTTTAGATTGGGCTTTAAATGTCCAGCAAACTTTATCTTTGAAATAAATGGACCTGTTATTAATCAATAAAAAAGAGGCAAGCGCCTGCAACACTTTATTGTTTGACAGGCAATCTGCTTTGAAATGGAAAGGAAACAACAATTGCAGTTTTATAAAAAGGCCATCTGATGCTTCAGTTGCAATTTGCATAGATAGCAGGAACCATTATGAATGCATTGCTGAATATCAAAAGACACCAAACCACTTAAGCATTGGGAAGGGGGGGGGGGGGGCGGTGATACAGGTTTTCCAACATTGCAATAGTTTAAAGGAATTATGAAACAATTATTCATCTTTGAAGTTATATACGGGCTAAGTATTTGGTTTTTATTAACTGATTGACCTCTTTCGGTGATTCACGTTTTGGATTTTATGGTTGAGAGTATTTTTTTCAGTAAGGAATACATTTGAAAATTTCAACTCTTTAAGCCACCTTTATTTTAAACTAAATTAACAAAGTCAACTTTGAATGTGCACACATCTGGTAATTGTAAGTGGTGAAATGGCATCTGTTGTGTGGCTAGTTGCTAGCTTTTTAAAATTATATTGTTAATATCTTCAGTATTGTTAGCCTTTGTCACTCTGCATTGTTGTTTTAAAGCTAGTCAAAATTGAATCTCTTCCAAAACTAAATTTTAGATAATTTATTCTTTTACATAATTTTTTTTAGTTACCAGTGGTCTAAGCTCACAGGTTAAGCATATGAAAATATCTTTTGGTTTAACATTGCATGCATTGGTATTTCTTGTTATTTTCTAGGTATATCCTACGACTTTCCGTTCCTTAGGATTAGGCTCTTGTAGTTCAATGGCTCGTATTGGGGCAATGATCGCACCCTTTGTAGCACAGGTGAGTGAAGCAGTTTTCTGTCTCCTGGAATAGGATGGCCTACATTTGACAAGCAGATGTGAGGGTACAATGATTTCTGAAGTTTAATGCAGCAAGCAATTATTCATATTTTCAGTTGGGAACACTTAGAATTCTACTTGGTATTTATCAAAGCGTCGGCTGGTGTATTATTATTTCTAATTGCTTAAGCTAACTCCCAACGAGGGAAAAGGGTGTTGCTCAGCACGCTCTGACATTTCTGCTTTGATAGAACTGCACTGGGGTGATTTTGAACGGCTTAAAGAAAACGTTCATGTAAAACTGACCTTGCCTGCTTTCCTTCGAAAGAAAGTTGGTGTCGGCAAGTATTTGAAAGATACCAGTAAATGCCCTGATTAGCCATTTCAATCTGTCTTCAACAGCCACCCAATTCAAAAGTCATCAGCTTTCATGACTTTTTGCTGCGAACAATTAGCTATTATTGTAACTTGAATGCAGAAGCTGCTAACTCATTCTGTTCACTCCATCCAGGTCCTGCTGGGCACGTGGCCTATAACAGCTCTGTGTCTCTTCAGTGCAGTGTGCATCATTTGTTCTATTTTGGCCTTTACTCTTCCCATTGAGACTCAGGGACGTGCAATGCAGGTGAGGAAGGAATCACATTCCGGAAATATCCTTGAAGCTCCTTATTGATAGAACCTGTTACTATTTGTGTGTTTCAAAGGGCTACACCCTGTGCCTGACACTTTGAAGTAGAAAATCATAGGATCTATGACTTGGTGTTGCACTGCTGAGGGGTTGGGTGTTAAAGTGAGACCCACCTACTCTCCCGAATGAATGATCCTGTTGGACTATTTGAAGAAAAGCAAAAACGTTCTGATCAACACGCTTTCTCAAAAAACATAATCAAATTAGGTTATTATGTGGTTTTTATCTTCAGCTGTGTTTGATCCCTTGCTGTGTGCACTTCACAAGTACAAAACAACTGGGAGTGATAGTTAATGTGCACTACTTTTCTGAACCAGTGTCCTGGGATCTTTTATAATGCACCTTAAAAAACACAGATGCAACCTTGTTTTAAGACCTCATCTGAAAGATGCGTCTCTATCACTGAAGTACTTGCTCAGTATTGCAATGGACTGTCAACCTAGTCTGTTGTGCCTAAGTCCTACGGATTGAGAGGCAAGTGTGCCCTGAAAATGTCATTGGGATTGACTGCAATTTTAATGGAGGCCTGAGTGAGAAGGTTATGGCTTTCTCAAAAGGTTGAGCAGACTCAGAAGTAGATCAGGATGCAATGAGGTGCTGGGTGTTAAAATTGCATCTTCAACAATATCAACGGTTGGCATTTATATAGCGGTTTCAATATTGAAAAATCCCCAGGGATTTCACAGTGTAATTAAAAGAAAACACAATGAGCCGCATTGGTTTTAGGACGTGTGGCTAAAACTTGGTAAAAGATGTATCTTATAGATGAAAAGAAGTTTAGAGAGGAAGAGCTTAGGCAGCTGATGGCTTGGGCTGCAAAGGGGTGAAGTGGTGAAGATCAGGGATTGGAGGAGAGCAGAGATCTTGAAGGGTTGTAGGGCTGGACAAAGTTACAAAAATGTGGAGGAGGTAGCGACAATTAAAGTAAAGGAATGTGCAATCCGAGATGAGATATGTTTAAATCAAGACGTTGCAGAAGTACTAACCAGTGGAGGTCAGTGAGCACCAATGCGAAAGGTGAATGAAATTTGGTGCAAGCTGGGACATACGGAACAGGGCTTTGGTTGAGGTTAAGTTTACGAAGGGTGGAATGTGAAAGGTGATGAGGTAAGCATTGTAACTGATGAAGCTAAAGGGAACACGGTCATGGATCTGGATTTCAGCAGCAAATGAACTGAGCTGGGACAGAGTTGAATCAGAAACTCAAAGGTTCATGTCCTGGGATAATCCTGTACTAATATGATGAACAAACTCATCTGATAAGAGTTCTTCAAGTGTGTATATCATCATTCTGGGGAATGGTTTGCAACCTTGTATTCCATTCCTTTAAATCTTCGCCTTCGTCAATAACCATTCTGATTTACTTTACAGGAGATCAATCCATCCACCTCCAGTATTTAAAATTCAGTCATGGAATTAATATTTAACCAAGCAGAGGGAAACTAATGTGATATCAAGATGTCTGTTGGTCTCCCTGCGTCATATGATATTATTTCCATTCCACTGAGGACCATAACTTGCTTTCCTCATCCATTACTTCTTCTGCAAGTGTATCTCATTGTCTCGCATCCATCAAACATCCACCACATGTGGCCTTTGACTGAGAAAGAAGGTTTAGAAAGGTTGAACTTTGAAGAGATTTTGTTCTACTGTTTGCACTCAGGAATAAACTTTGTAGCGCAAAATGTAATATGAAATAATACAATAAAGAAAAATTGCCAATTTTTAAAAAATTTCCACCACAAGTGCACCAGTACTTTCCTGCACTGGCGATTGAGTAAAGTGAAGCATCTTTTGAAGCATTCAATACCACTTAAAATAAAAGACTTTCTGTCCCTGCAAGAAGCCTGTTGTGCATGATCTGAAGTAGCTTTCCGGTTTTGTCAGCATCTTGTCCAATAAATGGACAATTATCCCGAAGCAAGTTGATTCACCAAACCATCTCCCTGCGCCTGGACTTTGTTGAAATTATGAAAATAACCTTTGCTTGATCTGTTGTCAAAAATAGGATGATCATTATCATAGTCTTCAACACAATGAATCCAGTGCTGGTCAGCTTGTCATGTTGTGCATATCTGTTCTTGAATACTTTGTCATAACCTTTACTGTGCAAACATATTCCATTTTACTGATAGTGTTATGCTGCCTTTCAATTATCTGTCATGTTCCTCCTAAGCTCCAGATACCTTGTCTTACTTGCTCTACTCCTTGAATCCTTGTTAAGTTGAATTCCAGATGTTATTTCAGTAATCCTTTCAATTGACCCGAAAACTGTGCAAACACCTTACTTTCTTGAGTCTGTTGTTCCTCTGAACAAGCTCTTTAACTCAAACATGGAGTCACAAATCGCTACTTGCATTGATTCAACTCAACTTCTTGAGGCTGCTTTTAGACTTTGTGTCACCTTACAAAGAGACTCAGTTCTTCCCCAGGAGTTCTTCTTAATAAAAAGGACCTGTACACACCCAAGCTGAGTCAAGTTACCAAAGCAGTAAATCACTACTTTAGTTAGGCCGTCTGAGGTTTGTACAATGATTTTGTATGCTAAGCTTAAACTGGTACTGTCAGAACTCGACATAAACGGTGTACAATAAAGGTATCATTGGGCTGATTCACTCCTGTTGTGGAATAGCACTCGCAGGGAACACTAACCCAAATTCACAGGCACCCACACCTTCATATTCCAACACCGACAGCAACCAGTCTGATAATTAACAGAAAAAGCAGAGCCTAAGAGCCCACAACATAACTCATGGGAGCATCCATTGAGAAATCAACCCTTAACTTCAGCATGCGAGAGTTAATGGACAAAAGAAATTTTGAGGTCAACTTATTTTGCCTTCTACCTCCTGGTAGCCATGTGACAGAATGATAATGCAGTTGTTCACTAATTGTGACATCTACTTCTATCAATCAGACTACAGTAGACTTGGACAAACGTGGGGGGAGGGGCGGGGAGGGATTTCCAGTAGTGCAGGGATAGTGTCCTTACCTCTGAGCTCGGAGGCCTGAGCTCAAGTCCCACCTGCATGTCAAAGTGTGTGATAATATCACTGAGCAGAGTTGCTTAGAAAATATCTAGAGCTGGACAGGAGGTGAGGAAAATACCATTCCTTGTTCTAAACTCACTTGTTCCTCCCAAACAAGATATACTTACCACACGGTGAGAGAATCGTACAGTTGCTGACAAGTAACTGGAAGTTAAAAGTTGCATCTGCTTTTTCTTTGAAGAACGTTTTGCTAATTTGATCATTTTGAAGGCTATTTGGATACTGTTTTGTGATTATGTTATAATAAACTTTTGATATTTGCGGACAAACATTGTAGACAATTATTATTTACTAATATGAAATTGACATGCATTTGGAATACCTCTCAGAGTTTTTACTTTCTGATTTATCAATTAAGTTTATTACAGATTATTATTGAGGTAAGGCTCAGGTTTCTCTATTGCTGTAAACCTGTTGTTCCAAATTTCTTTTAGTCTATAAATCTCCACTTGGTCATGATTTTATGAAGCTTAAATCATGAAATGTAAGTCAAAATCTCTCACACCACAGAGATGGTCATCAGGTAACCCGTGATGCTTGTGTTGTTCTTGTTTGAAAGAACTATTTAATTAATCCCATTCTACCTTTCTTTCCAATAGTTTTAAGCTTTATTAACACGTGTACTCAAGTACAGTGAAAAGTGTACAATGTCTTAGATACAAAGGTACCTAGGTACAAAATCTTAGGTGCAAAAATAGAAAAATAAAGAAATAAGTTGAAAAGTTTCCTTTTAATTTCCTTTCTTGAATTTCCTTTTCAAGTATTTATCCAATTCCTCTTTGAAATTTGCTATTGTTAAGGACAGGGGAGAGAGATAAATTGAACTCTTTCCTGTCTTCTGGTGAGACGTTCAAGCTTTAAATACAGGGTGCCTTATATAAAGCCCAGCTGTGGTTAACTTGCTCTCCAACTATGGTTCTCTAACCTGAAAGTGTCTCCAAGGAGAGAGCCAGCTCACTTCCTGCTTCCAGGTCAGGGACCGGGAAGTACAAGTGGACAGAGCAGTGGAGACAGCCAAAGTGCCTCAGTTCAGAATGAGGCCACTTGATCCACCAAGGCTGCACTGGATCATTACATGAGCATCTTTACCCTGTGCCAACCTCCCACTTTCTCCCCGTACAATTACCCTTCGAGTTACTTACATCGCCACATGCTTCAGCTTTGATGTTGATGTGTCACGCTGCCGTATAGTGGCAAGTCTACTCGCCGTCGGACTGAAAGACCACCACAGGACACTACCCTGAGGAACTCTTGCAGAGATGTTCTGGAGCTGAGATGACCGACCTCCAACAACCACAACCATCTTTCTATGTGTCAGGTATGACTCTAACCAGTGGAGAGTTTGCTCCAATTCTCATTGAGATAGTCACCAATGAGACATTGAGATATTTATTGGACTGCCTGCATCATGTGATATTATTTCCATTCCATTGAGAGCTTCACATAATCATGAAAGAAAAATCACATCCGGAGTGAGACACTGCCAAGTGAATATATAGTCTGGGGAAACTGAGATAACAAGATGTAGAGCTGGATGAACACAGCAGGCCAAGCAGCATCAGAGGAGCAGGAAGGCTGACGTTTCGGGCCTAGACCCTTCTTCAGAAAATAGTCTGGGGATGTTGGAGGCAGTGTGGGAATTTGGCGCACATCGGGACAAGTTTTTTTTTCTTGCCTCAAAGTTTATAAGGTGTTTCTTTTTAAAAAAAGCAGGATAAATTGAAGCCCAGAATCAGGGACTCAGCTCAAACCAAAGTGACATCTCAGGAAACTGTAAATTCATTGGTTGGTAATGGCTGCTAATTTGTCTAATTTTTCTACGTTATTTTCAGATTGAAAGTAAACAGGAAATATATTTACAGGTTACAAATGAAAAGACCAGTAGGATATTAAACAAAAACAAATTAAAAACTAATTAAATAAAATAAAGATACAGGGCCAGGAGATGTTTGAGATTGTTGCTCCCTGTGTGGGTGAGATTGGGGGCTGTCGGGAGGATGAGAAAACTGACCATAGCACCATGGTACAGGGAGGCATTCAAGAGGAAGGGAAAGAGAAATGCAGTTAGAATCGGGGATGGTATAATTTGGGGAATAGACATGGTCCTCTGTGGCCAGGATTAAGAGTCCTGAACGCTGTGTTGCCTGCCTAGTGCACGGGTTCAGGATATCTCATCTGGGCTGCAGAGGAACTTAGAGTGGGAGGGTAAAGATCCAGTTGTCATGGTCCACGTCGGGAAACTGCATCATAGGACAAACTTGAAGACTTTGTGTCTTAATGCACAAAGTATTTGGAATAAGGTGGACAAACTGGCGCAAATCAAGGGCGTAAGGTTGGGAGGGTAGGGGAGGGCTCAACAGAGGTTATTAAAGTTTCCAGAAGAAGTAATGGGACAGAAGGTATGGAAAGGGTCAGAAATATAACTTCAGGCACCGTGGATAAGGAGCCAAGTATGAGAAGGGGGCAGTCATTGCATGCAGTATCCGAAACAAGATAAGTGAGCTCGTAGCACAGATTGAAATTAGCAGGTACAATGTTGTGAATGTCACAGAGACATGGCTACATGGGGATTAGGGCTTGGAATGGACTATTCAAGAATATGTGTCCTATCAAAAGGGCAGGCAGATGGCCAGACGGATGGGGTTGCCTTGTTGGTACAAAATGAAATTAAATCAATAGCAAGAAGTGATATAGAGTCGGAAGGGTGTAGAATCAGTGGGGGTAGAGTTGAGGAAGCACAAAGGAAAGAAGAGTTGTGAGAATTACATGCAGGCCGTATGGTAATAAACAGGATACAGGGCAGAATATAAATCAGGAGATAGAAAAGGCATATTATCATACCATATCATATCATAGAATCCCTACAGTGTGGAAACAGGACCTTCAGCACAACAAGCCCACACTGATGTAAGAAGGCACTGTTACGATAATTATGGGAAGCTTCACATGTGGACTGGAAAATCGGATTAGTAGCAGAGCTCAAGAACAAGTATTTGTGGAATGTCCATGAGATGATTATTTTTGGAGCAGCTTGTAGTACATCCCGCTTGTGAACACACAATTCTGGATTTAGGGATGTGAAATGAGGCAGACTTGATTAGGGAGCTCAAGGTAAAGGAACCCGTAGGTGGCAGTGACCATAATATGATAGAATTTACCCCACAGTTTGAGAGGAAGAAACTGGCATCAGATATAACAGCATTACAATTGAGAAAAGGTACCTACAATGGCATAACAGGAGAGCTGGGCAGATTAGAAGGGGAGCCGAGCAGGGAAGAGGGTGGAGCAGCAGTGGCTGGATTTTCTTGGGGTAATGTGGGAGGCAGAGCAGAAATTCATCCAGAGGAAGAAGGGACATACTAAGGGGAAGAGGAAGCAACCATGGATGACAAGAGAAGTCATAAGGGACAGCATAAAAACAAAAGAAAAATCATACAATACGGTGAAGAATAGTGGGAAGGCAGAGGATTTGGAAATCTTTAAAAACCAGCAGATGATATCTTAAAAAAAAAGCACAATAAGGGGGAGAAGATGAAAAACGAGAGTAAGCTAACTAGTAAAATCAAAGAAGATTACAAAAGTTTTTTTTAGAAATGTAAGAAGTAAGAGAGAGGCAACAGTAGACATTGGACCACTGGAAAATGAAGCTGGAGAAGTAGTAATGGGGAGAAAAAATGGTGGCGAAACTGAACAGGTACTTTGCATTAAGCTTTGTGGTGGAAGACACCAGTAGCATAGCTGAACTTGAAGGGAGTTGGGGGCAGAGGTAAATGCAGTGGGCATCACTCAAGGAGAAGATACTGAGGAAGGAAGGACATCTAAAGGTGGATAAATCACCCAAGCCAGGACTACAAACCAGGGTTCTGAAGGAAATAGTTGAGGAGATTGTGGAGGCATTGATGATGGTCTTTCAGGAATCATTGGAGTTAGGGAGGCTCCCAGACAATTGGAAAATGGTTATCTACTACCCATATTTCAGAAGGGAGGGAGGCAGAAGATGGGAAATTATAGGCCAGTTAACTTGACCTCAGACTTTGGTAAGATTTTAGAGTCTATTATGAAGGATGAGATTGTGGAGGATGTGGAAATGCATAGTAAAACAGCACGGCTTCATCAAGGGGAGATCACGCCTGACGAATCTGTTAGAATCCTTTGAGGAGGTAACAAGCAAGTGAGACAAAGGAGAGCCAGTGGACATGATCTATTTGGATTTCCAGAAGGCCTTTGACAAGGTGCTGCACAGGTAGCTGCTAAATTAAATAAGAGCCCACAGTGTTAGGGGCAAGTTATCGGCGTGGATAGAGGATTGGCTGACTGGCAGAAGGCAGAGAGTAGGGATAAAGGCGTCTTTTTCAGGATCGCAGCTGGTGATTAGTGGAGTTCCACAGGGGGCAGTGTTGGGGCCACAACTATTCACAGTATGCTTTAATAATCTGGATGAAGGAATCTGAGGGCACTGTTGCTAGGTTTGCAAGCAACACAGGTGGGGGAAGAGACAGGTAGTGTTGAGGAAGCCAGGAAGCTGTAGAAGGACCTGAACAGGCTAGGAGAGTAGAAAAAGAAGTGGCAGATGGAATACAATGTGGGAAAGTGTTAGGTTATGTGCATTGGTAGGAAGATTAGAGACGTGACAGGGAAACATTTCAGAAATCTGAAGCACAATGGGACTTGGGAGTCCTAGTTCAGAATTCTCTTAAGGTTAATATGTAGATTCAATTGGCAGTTAGAAAGGCAAATACAATGTTGGCATTTATTTCAAGAGGGCCAGAAAAAAGAGCAGGGATGTGCTGCTGAGGCTGTAGGAGGCTCTGGTCATACGTTATTTAGAATATTGTGAGCAGTTTGGGCCCATCTCTATGGAAGAATGTGCTGGCATTGGAGGCAGTCTAGAGGAAGTTTACAAGAATGATCTCGGGGATGAAGGACTTGTCATAGTGGCAGTTGAGGTCTCTGGGTGTGTCTTCAATGGAGCTTAGAAGGATAAGGGGGGACCTGATTGAAACTCTCAAAATAATGACAGGCCTGGATAGAGTCAATGTGGAGAAGATGTTTCCACGAGCAGGTGAGACAAGGACCCAAGGACACAGACTCAGAGCGAAAGGATGACCTTTAGAATTGAGTTGAGGAGGAATTTCTTCCGCCAGAATGTGATGACTCTGTGGAACTCATTTCTGCAGATGGTTGTAAAAGCCAGGTCATTGAGTGTATTTAAGACAGAGGTAGTTTCTTTATTAGTGAGGGGATCAAAGGTTATGGGG